CTGAACCCCAAGACCAATCTGTGCCAGAAGATCCGCTCGACCCAGGGGCAGGGCGTGATGCCGGACGGCACTTCGCGCTTTTCCTACAAGGGCGAGAAACTGTTGCACTATATGGGCTGCTCGACTTTCTCCAACTACACGGTGCTGCCCGAGATCGCGCTGGCCAAGGTGCGCAAGGACGCGCCCTTCGACAAGATCTGCTACATCGGCTGTGGCGTGACCACCGGCATCGGCGCGGTCATGTTCACCGCAAAGGTGGAACCCAATTCGACCGCCGTCGTGTTCGGCCTGGGCGGCATCGGGCTGAACGTCATACAGGGCCTCAAGCTCGTCGGCGCACGCCAGATCGTCGGCGTCGACATGAACCCTGCCAAGGAGGCGATCGCGCGCCAGTTCGGCATGACCGACTTCGTCAACCCCAAGGATGTCTCCGGTGATCTGACCGGTCATCTGGTCGAACTGACCGGCGGCGGCGCGGACTATTCGTTCGAATGCATCGGCAATGTCGATGTGATGCGAACGGCGCTGGAATGCTGCCACAAGGGCTGGGGCACCTCGGTGATCATCGGCGTCGCGCCGGCGGGCGCCGAGATTTCGACCCGGCCGTTCCAGCTCGTGACCGGCCGCAACTGGCGCGGCTCGGCCTTCGGCGGCGCGAGGGGCCGCACCGACGTGCCGCGCATCGTCGATATGTACATGGAGGGCCGCATCGATATCGACTCGCTGATCACCCACACGATGCCGCTCGAAGACATCAACAAGGGCTTCGACCTGATGCATGCGGGCGAGAGCATCCGCTCCGTGGTGTTGTATTGATGCAGGAGGCGCTGCGCCACAAATCGTTCGGCGGCTGGCTGACGGTCCACGATCACGACAGCGCGCTCACCAACTGCACCATGCGTTTTGCGGTCTATACGCCGCCGCAGGCCGCCGACGGCCCGGTGCCGGTCTTGTGGTATCTGTCGGGGCTGACCTGCACCTGGCAGAACGTCAACGAAAAGTCCGGCATCCATCGCCATGCCGCCGAACACGGCATGATGGTGGTGTTTCCGGACACCTCGCCACGCGGCGAGGGAGTGGCCGACGACGAAGCCTACGATCTGGGGCAGGGCGCCGGCTTCTATCTGACCGCGACCGAGGACCCTTGGGCGCGGCATTTCCGGATGGATCGTTATATCGTCGAGGAACTGCCGGCGCTTGTTGCCGATCGTTTTCCGGCAGCCGACATGAACCGGCAGGGCATTTTCGGCCATTCCATGGGCGGGCACGGCGCGCTGACGCTGCATCTGAAGCATCCCGAACGCTATCGGTCCGTGTCCGCCTTCGCGCCGATCGTGGCGCCGAGCAAGGTGCCATGGGGGCAAAAGGCGTTTGCGGCCTATCTGGGCGCCGACCGGTCGGCATGGCAGGCTTATGACGCCACCGAACTGGTCGCCCGACAACGGTCAAAGGCGCACATCCTGATCGACCAGGGCGCCGCCGACCAGTTCCTGGCCGAGCAGTTGCGGCCCGAACTCTTCGCAGAAGCCTGCCGCCATGCCGGCCAGCAACTGACGCTCAACATGCGCGACGGCTACGACCATTCCTACTATTTCGTCGGCACGTTCATGGCCGACCATTTCGCCCATCATGCGTCCGTGCTGAAGCGCTGACGTCGAGGCCGGGGAAAACCGATGAAAGCGGCGCTTCTGGAACGGTTCGACGGCCCGTTGACTGTGACGTCCGTGCCCGATCCGGTGTGCCCGGCCGATGGCGCGATCCTCGCCGTGCGTGCCTGCGGCGTCTGCCGGTCGGATCACCATGCCTGGAAGGGGCTCGATCCCGATGTCGTGCTGCCGCATGTGATGGGCCATGAATTTGCCGGCGAGATCGTCGAGGTCGGCCCGCAATGCCGCCATTTCCGGGTCGGCGACCGGGTCACCGCGCCGTTCATATTGAGCTGCGGTCATTGCACAGATTGTCAGGCCGGCCGGCCAACGGTCTGCGCCGATCAGGAGGGCATCGGTTTCACGGTCTGGGGCGCGTTCGCCGAGCGCATCGCGATCAGTGCTGCCGATTTCAACCTTGTGCATCTGCCCGACGCGATAGATTTCGTGCCCGCTGCCGGCATGGGCTGCCGCGTCACGACAGCGTGGCGCGCCCTCACCGACCGGGCGCAACTGGCGCCCGGCGAGTGGCTGGTCGTGCATGGCGCGGGCGGCGTCGGCCTGTCGGCCACTATCATCGCCGCCGCGCTCGGCGCGCGGGTCCTCGCCGTCGATATCAGCGACGATGCCCTCACCAAGGCCACAGAGCTGGGCGCCAATGCGGTCCTGAACGTGTCAGGTATCGACGATGTGGGCGAAGCGGTGCGCGATCTGACGAGTGGCGGCGCTCATGTGTCGATTGATGCTCTCGGCAGCGCCGTTACTTTCACAAACTCCCTCAGGTCGCTGCGCAAGCTAGGCCGGCACGTTCAGGTCGGTATGCCGGTCGGCAATCATGCCACGGTGCCGCTGCCTTTGCTCGAACTGGTCTATGCGCGACAATTGTCGCTGCATGGCACGCGCGGCCTCGGCGCGCGCCAGTTCGCGCCGCTGATGGACATGATTGCCGGTGGCCGCCTCGACCCCGTGCCGCTCGTAACCCGCACGATCCCATTGTCGGCGGCCGGCGCCGCGCTCGCCGAGATGGATGGCGGCCAGCCGGCCGGGGTCACGGTGATCGATATGGCAGTTGGCTGACCGCCACTCTCCTCACATGTTCGGATAAACCGGGCCTTCGCCGCCCTGCGGCACCGTCCAGTTGATGTTCTGGTTGGGGTCCTTGATGTCGCAGGTCTTGCAGTGCACGCAGTTCTGCGCGTTGATCTGGAACCGCACCGCATCGTCCGGCTGGCGCTCGGCACCATCGCCGATCGTGTCGCCATCGGCATTGAGCCACTCATAGACGCCGGCGGGGCAATAACGCCAGGACGGGCCGGCATAATCGGCATATTCGGAACGCTTCTGCAGCCCGTCGTCGATGACCTTGAGATGGATCGGCTGGTCTTCCTCGTGATTGGTGTTGGACAGGAACACCGACGACAGGCGGTCGAACGTGATCTCGCCGTCGGGCTTGGGATAGGCGATCGGCGCGTGCTTGGAAGCCGGCTCGAGCGCCTCATGGTCGGCCTTGCCGTGACCAAGCGTTCCAAGCGGCGACCAGCCGCCGGTCAGCTGGTTGATCCACATGTCGATGCCGCCAATGCCGACGCCGACCATGGTGCCGAAGCGCGACCAGAGGGGCTTGACGTTCCGCACCTTCTTCAGATCCTGGCCGATCGGGCTGCCGCGCCAGTCGGCCTCATAGGCATCGAGCGCATCGTCGTTGGCGCGGCCTTTGGACAGCGCCTCGGCGGTTTTGTCGGCCGCCAGCATGCCCGACAGCATCGCATTGTGGCTGCCCTTGATACGCGGCACGTTGACGAAGCCGGCCGAGCAGCCGATCAGCGCGCCGCCCGGGAACGAGACCTTGGGCACCGATTGCCAGCCGCCCTCGGTGATGGCGCGCGCCCCGTAGGAGATGCGCTTGGCGCCGCCGAACGTCTCGCGGATCATCGGGTGCGTCTTGAAGCGCTGGAACTCCTCGAACGGCTTGAGATAGGGGTTCTTGTAGTTCAGGTGGACGACGAAGCCGACGGCCACCAGATTGTCTTCGAGATGGTAGAGGAACGAGCCGCCCCCCGTCCGGTTGCCGAGCGGCCAGCCGAACGAATGCTGGACGAGGCCGGGCCGGTGCTTGGCCGGATCGACCTGCCAGAGCTCTTTCAGGCCGATGCCGTACTTGCCGGGCTGCTTGCCCTCATCAAGCGAGAACTTCGCGATCAGCTGCTTGGCGAGCGAACCGCGCACGCCTTCGCCGATCAGGACATATTTGCCGTGCAGTTCCATGCCGCGCGCGAACATCGCCGTCGGCTCGCCGTCGCGGCCGATGCCCATGTCGCCGGTGGCGACGCCCTTGACCGCGCCATTGTCGTCGAAGATCAGCTCGGCGGCGGCAAAGCCTGGATAGATTTCAACGCCGAGCGCCTCGGCGCGGCCGGCCAGCCAGCGGCACACATTGCCCAGAGAAGCGATGTAGTTGCCATGGTTGTTCATCAGCGGCGGCATCATGAAGTTGGGCAGGCGCATGCCGCCCGCCGGCCCCAGATAGAGGAAATGGTCGTCGGTGACCGGCGTCTTGAGCGGCTGGTCCGGATCGTCGCGCCAGTCGGGGATCAGCGTGTCGAGGCCGACCGGATCGATCACCGCGCCCGACAATATGTGCGCGCCCACTTCGGCGCCCTTTTCGAGGACGACGACGGAAATGTTCTCGTCGATCTGCTTGAGCCGGATCGCGGCCGCAAGCCCCGCGGGCCCCGCGCCGACGATGACGACATCGAACTCCATCGACTCCCGCGGTTCGTTCCTGGGATCGTCCGCCCCGTTGGCTTCGCTCATCATTGTCCTCCGGTGACGCGTGCCGTCCCGCATCGGCTGCGGGCCGCGTCCTGTTGTTGTCAGTCCGCCGGCAGTTAGCCCGCGCGCGCCCGACCTATCAAGATGCGTCGACGCCGCAACGCTTCGGCGCAGTGCCTTTCCCGTAATTTACTTTGACGTAAACGTCAATAATTCGGCATTCGACAACCGTGCCTTGTCGGTCGCAGCGGAAGCCTCAAGGCGCCGCATGCCGAGATGCGGGCGCCAATCCCATGACCCTTCCAGGCACCGTTTCGGCAAGCTCGGCATCGCACCTCAGGATGATGGGAACTGGCGGCGAGCCTCGAAAGGGGCAAGCCCATGCGCCATGGTTGTTGAAGACGCGGCCGGTTGCCTTGGCGTGGTCGACAAAGGCCCGCGTTTGTCATTGGGCACGGCGGCGACAAATCCGTGGACATAGGCCATGGCGCGTCGTCCCGATGCGATCTCTTTCCGAAACAGCCTATGCGTCGTGCATAATGGCCACAAGACCAGCGGCAAAACCGAGCGGCCAGCAGACGCTCACGCCCGCTCGTCCTTGGGCGAGCCCATCACCACATAGGTCGTGATCGAGCGGACCTGCGGAATTGCGCCGAGCACATCGGCGTGGAACCGCTTGTAGGCGGCGATGTCGGCCACCTCGACGCGCAGCAGATATTCGATCAGCCCCGTCACATTGTGGCACTCGCGCACCTCGGGCACATGCGCCACCGCGCGCTCGAACGCGTCCTGGGCGGCCTTGGAATGGTCGGCCAGCCCGATGCCGACATAGGCGGTGAACGCCTGGCCCAGCTTCGACCGGTCGATCACCGCCCGGTATCCGCCGATCACGCCGGACCTTTCGAGCTCCTGGACGCGGCGCAGGCAGGCCGAGGGCGACAGATTCACCCGCGCAGCCAGATCGATGTTGCTGATCCGCCCGTCCGCCGAAAGAACGCGCAATATTTCTTCGCTTTTTGCGTCGACTGCCTTCATCGATTGCGCATATAGCCGGAAATGGCTCAATAAAGAAAGCACATTGCGCGCCAACTGGGCGCATGATTGTGCGATGAACGCCGAACTGCTCGCCGCCTTTGCCACCTTCGCCTTCGTCTCGTCGGTCACGCCGGGGCCCAACAATCTGATGCTTCTGGCGTCGGGCGCCAATTTCGGGCTGGTGCGGACCATCCCGCACATGCTGGGCATCGGCATCGGCTTCACCGTGATGATCGTTCTGGTCGGCGTCGGGCTGATGCAGGTCTTCGATGCCGTGCCGGCCAGCTACACGATCCTCAAGATCGTCTCGGTCGCCTATCTGCTCTGGCTGGCCTTCAAGATCGCCAATGCTGGTGCGCCGCAAGGGGGCGAGACGCAGGGCACACCGATGACGTTCCTGCAGGCTGCCGTTTTCCAGTGGGTCAACCCCAAGGCCTGGACGATGGCGCTGACGGCGATCACGATCTACGCGCCGGACCGCAGCCTGTCGGCGATCGTGCTGGTCGCGCTGGTCTTCGGCGTGATCAACCTGCCGACCGTCAGCACCTGGACGCTGATCGGCCAGCAGATGCAGCGCTTCCTGAACGATGCGCGGCGCCTGCGCGCCTTCAACTGGACCATGGCGGCACTGCTGGTGGCTTCGCTCTGGCCGGTGCTTGCCGGTTAGCGGTCGTCGTCCGCCTGATCGTCTTCGTCGGCGCGCGGGTTCATCGCGAGCGTTTCGGGCGTCGAGAAGCGCGTGGTCGGCATGCGCACATAGGCTCTGCGGATGGCGGCGGCCGCGCGCTGACGGATGCGCCAGATCGTAAAGCCGATAAGCATCGTGTGGGCCGCCGCGATCGTCATGAAAAGACCCTCGGGTCCGGCAAAGCCCATCACGCCGCCCGCGATCAGCGGCCCCGCGATCGAACCGATGCCGAACAGCAGCAGCAGCCCGCCCGACGTGCGCAGGAAGTCGTCCGCCGCCGCATGGTCGTTGGCGTGGCTGACCAGCAGCGGATACATGGTGTGGATGAACGCACCGAACAGGCCGGCTCCGATCAGGATCGGCATGGCGTCCCGGGGCGCCGCGACGATGAAATAGACAGAGGTCGCAACGGCCAGAACGCCCACGGCGATGAGCACATGGCGGCGGTCGGTCTTGTCGGACGCATAGCCGACCGGCACCTGCGCCACCGCGCCAGCAATCAGGGTCGCCGACAGGAAGATGGCGATGGCGGTCACGCTCATGCCGATCGCGTTGCCATAGACGGCGGCCAGCGTGCCGAACGCCGAGTTGGCCATGCCGACGAGCACGATGCCGACGACGGCGACCGGCGAATTGCGCCACAATTTGGGAATATCGAGTGACACTTCGGTCAGCGGCTTTGGCTGCTGCGAGGCGTAAAGCGCCGTTGGGATCATCGCGAGCGCATAGAAGACGGCGCCGAGCACGAAGAATGTCTCCGCACCGGTGTCGCCGAGCGGCAGCACCATCTGGCCGATGGTGGTCGCGGTCAGGTTGACCATCGCATAGATGCCGAAAACGCGGCCGCGGCTGTCGGGGCCGGAACGCTCGTTCAGCCAGCTCTCCATGATCTGCTGGGCGCCGGCAAAGCAGAAGCCCGACAGCGCCCTGAGAGGAATCCATGCGGCCGGATGCATCAGCAACAGGGAAAGCAGGATCGCCACGCTTGCCAGCGCCGTCATCGCGCCGAACGAGCGGATATGGCCGACGCGCTTGACCGTGCGCGGCACGATCAGGCAGCCGAGCACGAAGCCGACCGCCCATCCCGTGCCCAGAAGCCCGAGCGAAAACGCCGAGAACCCTTCCTGAGCGCCGCGCACCGGCAGGATCAGCCCGTTGACGCCGCCGGCGAACATCAGCGCCGATGCGCCGATCAGGAGCGGAGCGGTGGATTTGGGCAGGAGTGGCATCAATTTCCTTTTGCCATCGTCTTGCCAGAACAGGGTGGACGAAAAACCAAGATCCCGTCGATGACGGGCTATGGTGCGGTGGCGCTGCATTGGCCGGCACGACAGACACCATAACCAAGAGATTTGCCAGATCTACCGCTTGTTTTGACTGCTCGCGCCACCTGTCGGCCGAACTCCCAAGGCCGAACGGGGCTCGCCCGACAGTCGATTGGCAGTCGGAATTCGATGACAATAAAAACGAATCAACGGACAAGTTTTGGTCGAATTTTTGGTTGTCATATCTGCTTGATTTTAGGGATAATCATCGATCAATTTGCCAATCGATCAATTTTGTATATCATATTCATTTCGTTTATTTCTATCCGGGAGGGTGCCGATGTCTGAAGAGAGTATCAAGAGAGTGCTCGGTGTAGCGGATTATGACGCCTACTGGATAGGCAAGTCATTATTGGTTCGGCTGACAGCGCGCGGTTTGCTGCCCTGCTTCAACTACACCGCACAATTGGAGCAGCGCCCCGAACGCGTCTCACCGCCCAACTGGAACATGGTCTTCTATACGCCGGATGTTTGCATGACGGCCCTTCGTCCCTTCGAGGTAAGCGTGGTGATGTCCAATGTCGGTGGTGCCTCTTCACTGAGGGTTTTTGATGCAACGGGCGAGAACGAAGTGAAAATCCGCCACGAGTCCGACCGGGAGCAGACGACCAATCTGCAATCCGCGTTGGAGAAGGACCAGTTCGTGGTCCATGCCAGAGTGCCGAAGGGGGCTTCAGGCCACCATGGGTGCATCGTGGTTCCGGCCGACATGGTTGTATCCGCCATCTACTATCGGGCATACGGACCGGCATCGAAAGCCGACTGCGATGCGTTCGTGGCCAAGAACTGTGATGTATCGATCACCGCCGGTGGGGAAATCCCTTGGCCGATGCTGACCGACGAACAGTGAGGTGCTTGCTTAAAACGGCCGCTGGCGCCAGCCCGGGTCCGTGAAAAGCCGTTTCGGATCAGATACCAAAACCCCCTACTGAAACGCCGTCTCCGAAAAGCTGCGCAGTTTCCGCGAATGCAGCCGTTCGGGCGGCATCTGCGCCAGCTTCTCCATCGCCTTGATGCCGATGATCAGATGCTGGTTGACCTGCGTCCTGTAGAATTCGGTCGCCATGCCCGGCAGCTTGAGTTCGCCATGCAGCGGCTTGTCGGAGACGCACAAAAGCGTGCCGTAGGGCACGCGGAAGCGGAAGCCGTTGGCGGCGATCGTCGCCGATTCCATGTCGAGTGCAATCGAGCGTGACTGCGACAGCCGTTTGACCGGCCCGCGCTGGTCGCGCAGCTCCCAGTTGCGGTTGTCGATCGTGGCGACCGTGCCCGTGCGCATGATGCGCTTGAGATCATAGCCCGAAAGGCCTGTCACCTCCGCCACCGCCTGTTCCAGCGCGACCTGAACCTCGGCCAGCGGCGGCACCGGCACGGACAGCGGCAGATCGTCGTCGAGCACCGAATCCTCGCGCACATAGGCATGCGCCAGCACATAATCGCCCAGCTGCTGCGTGTTGCGCAGGCCCGCGCAATGGCCGAGCATCAGCCAGGCATGCGGGCGCAGTACCGCGATATGGTCGGTGATCGTCTTGGCGTTGGACGGGCCGACGCCGATATTGACCATGGTGATGCCGGTGCGGTCCGGCCGCGTCAAATGATAGGTCGGCATTTGCGGCAGGCGCGATGGCGGTGCGCCGCTCTCCGGCTCGGCCGCGCCGGCGCGCGTCACCACATTGCCCGGCTCGACGAAACTCTCATAACCGGAATTGGTGTCGGCGATCTGCTCGCGCGCAAAGGCGCAGAACTCGTCGATGTAGAACTGGTAGTTGGTAAAAAGGACGAAGTTCTGGAAATGCCACGGGCTTGTCGCGGTGTAATGCGACAACCGGTGCAGCGAATAATCGACGCGCTGGGCGGTGAACGGGGCAAGCGGCGAGGGCTGGCCGGGCGCCGGTTCGAAGTCGCCGTTGGCGATGTCGTCATTGGTCACGTTCAGGTCCGGTACGTCGAACACGTCGCGCAGCGGACGCGCCAGCTGGTCGGCCTTGGCGCCATCGACATGGGTGCCTTCCAGGAACGCGAAGTGCAGCGGGATCGGCGTGCCCGACTCCGACACCTCGACCGCCACGCTATGGTTCTTCAGCAAGAGCCCGATCTGCGTTTCCAGATAGCTTCCGAACAGGTCGGGCCGGGTGACGGTGGTCGCGTAATGGCCCGGCTGGGCCAGATGGCCGTAGGCGAGCCGCGAATCCACCTGATTGTAGCTGGCCGTCCTGACCGAGAGCTGCGGATAATAGGCGCGCACGCGCCCCTCCAGATCGCCCTTGTCGGTCATCTCGGAAAACGCGTCGCGGATAAAGGCCGTGTTGCGCTCGTAAAGCGCGCGCAAGGCGGCAACCGCCTCGGCGGGATCGGTGTAGAAGGTGGGGCGCTCGGGCGGCGGGGTCAGAAACCCGGCACTGTCCTGGCCGCTCGTGGGATGTGATTCGTCTGTTCTCTTGTCCATGCACAATCATATACGGCCAGATCATTGCGCGCAAAAGACGTGCGTGTTGATCTGCGTAGGTATTCGGACGCCGGCGTGTTCAGGAAGGGCCGTACCGGTTGGGGGTGTCATCGCCGCGGCTGGCGCACCAGACGATGAGTACGATAATACCGACAATCGGGATCAGGACAATCAACTGCCACCAGCCCGAACGTCCGATGTCATGCAGTCGGCGTGCGCCAACGGCCAGCGATGGAATAAGGACTGCAAGCGAATACAGCGAGTTCAATGGTGACAACTCGTTCTGAACGCCAAAAATGATGATATCGGCGACCACGAGCGCCAGTCCGACGAGAAAGTTGAAGAGAACAAAGTACCAGTACTCCGGACGACGCGCCCGGCCCGAGAAGGTCGCATATTTCGAGAATACGACGCCGACGCTCTCGATCATCCCACTGGGGTGGTCCGCCGCAGTGCCGGCACTCAAATACTGTGGTTGGAGATTTTGTCGGCGCTCAGCCGATAGATCGGGCGGCTGCCTCCACGAAGGCGGCTTGACGTCGTCAGGCAGGACGTCGTTGGCAGGTGCCCAATCCGCCATCCCGTCAGCCCAGACCAATGTGTTTCGGTCAATCACATCGGCTTGAATAAGAGTTTTGACTTCTCCCAGATTAACCGGTCCCTTTTTGTCTTTTCCGGACGCGTAGTACCATTGCTGTTCATCCGTCACCGCCAAGTCCCCCTCATCGTTTTTTGTTGAACGGCAGTAAATGCCGCTTGGCAAAAAATGAGCAAGGAAAAAATCCGGGTATGGACTCAGGCTTTGATCCGTTTCGGACAGCCTTTCGTCACGGCCGCATCAGACTGACATAAAGGACAAAGCCCACGCCATTGCCCTTGCGGGCGCCTTCGTCCGCCTGGGCGGCGGCAAAGCCCGCCAGCGGGCCGACGAACAAGGTGGCCAGAAGCGCGGCGCGGCCAAAGGCGCGGGCGGTCTGGAAGCGGCGGCGGTTGGGTGTGTGCATGGTCATGGTCAGCCCCTGACAATATTATTGGCGCGGGATGGCGCACACGCGCGGGCGCTCGAAGACGCACGGCACGGTCGATTGAATTTTCCAGGAATAGGCCGGCCCGCTGCTCTGCTCGATCAGGCTGATCAGCGCGAACGCGAAGATCATGGCGATCAGGCAGATGATGATGAAGCGTCGTGCGAGCATCGGCTGTGTCCCTTTCCTGCCGCACACATTAGACAGGGGGCACTGAACCGGCGCTGAGGTCGCCATTCATATGGCGTTCAGGGTCGTTAACGCGGCTTGCGCTTGGCGTCCGCGCGCCTATGTGCGAGAGCGACAGCACCGGAGGAGCCCATGCCGCAACAGACCGCACCGATCGAGCTTTACTATTGGCCGACGCCCAATGGCTGGAAGATATCGATCATGCTTGAGGAGCTCGGCGTGCCCTATCAGGTGCGCTACATCGACATCGGCAAGGGCGAGCAGTTCGCGCCCGATTTCCTGAAGATCGCGCCCAACAACCGCATGCCCGCCATCATCGACCCGGAAGGCCCGGGCGGCGAGCCGATCTCGGTGTTCGAGTCCGGCGCGATCCTGCAATATCTGGGCCGCAAGTTCGACCAGTTCTATCCCGCAGATCCGCGCGCGCGGACCGCCGTCGACGAGTGGCTGTTCTGGCAGATGGGCGGGCTGGGGCCGATGGCCGGCCAGGCGCATCATTTCCGCCAATATGCGCCCGAACAGGTGCCCTATGCGATCGACCGCTACACCAATGAGGTCAACAGGCTCTATGGCGTGATGAACAGGCGCCTTGCCGACCGCGACTTCCTCGCCGGCGACTATTCGATCGCCGACATGGCGTGCATCGGCTGGGTCCTGCCCTACGAACGGCAGGGCCAGGATCTGGACGAGTTCCCCAACCTCAAGCGCTGGTTCGACACGATGAATGCGCGGCCGGCGGTCGAGCGCGGCCTGGCGGTCGGACGCGAAAAGCGCGAGCAAACCAATCTGCGCGACGACAAGGAGGCGCAGAAGGTGCTGTTCGGCCAGCGCGCGCGCTGACCCGGAGACCTCCCCTGTCTGTTCGGGGAGGTCGTGTGGCCGGGTTTACTGGCGCTGCCAGTCTTCGCCGCGGCAAATGGCGCCGCCCAGAATGCAGCCCTGCAGCTTCATCGTGTTGCCGCTGATGCGTGCCTTGCCGCGATAGGTCTTGCCTTCGGCGAGGTCGGTGATCTGGCCGTTATAGTTGCTGCCCGAACCCGACAGCGTGCCGATCGACTGGCCGGCATATTCGCCGTTGCGCACCGTGCCGCAGAAGCTCGATCCGCACGGGGCGAAATTGACGAGCGTTCCGGTGCTGGGGCGCAGCCAGGTGCCGACAATGGCGTCGGCAAGAGCGGGCGTTGCGGTCATGGTGACGGCGACCGCCAGCGCAAGCAGAGATGTCTTCATGAGGTTCCTCCCAATCATGCACGGTTCAAGGACCGTTCGCGTGCACTATTATTGACGCACACGTAAAAGTAAACGAGTTTTGACGGGAGTCGGTAGCGTTCCGGCGGGCGGATCGGTCGCTTCATGGACCGGCACAAACCGCGTCCCTCCCGCATCGACCCGCTGCCACGGTTAGCGATTGCTTTCCGCGCCAACTGTGAACGATGTGTGAAAATCCCCGGTTTGCCAAGCAAAATCAGCTACTTGACATGTTAACGCGCGGTTGAATTTACCCCCTGTTTTTGTTTCGTTTGCGCGCCATTAAGGACACTTGTTTGCCAGCCGTTGAAGCCTTGCCGGCATCCTCCACCCATCAAAACGCCGGGACGACAAAGGGCTCGGGGACGAAACAGGGACACGCAATAGGGGGTCGACATGGCACGCCTTGAAATGGAAAACGCCGACTTTGCCGGGATGGGCGCCGGCGCCAACGCAGACATCTTGTTCGAGATGGGCCTGGCTTGCGCGACGGGCCGCAATGGCGACGCCGATCTGGTTGCCGCGCACAAATGGTTCAACATCGCGGCCATCAAGGGCTCGCCGCGAGCCGGCGCCCTGCGCGCCGAGATCGCCGAAACCATGAACAAGGCCGAACTGGCCAAGGCGCTGCGCGAAGCGCGTGAGTGGATGACCCGCCATTGAGCGGTGGTGCCGGCCCGACGGCCGGCTTCGAAAAGACATCGGCGGGTGGGGCACCGGTTTGCGGGGGGCAAGCGACCGGTTGCAACGGGGGTTCCGCTGACAGGCCGCGCGCTCTTGGGGTGTGAGCGCGCGGCCTTTTTCGTTTCGGCGGTGTCCGTGTGCGCCGTCAGTTCACGCCGACATAGCGGCCCGGCTTGTGGTTGACACCCAGGATCAGGTTGAACATTACCGCGCCGGCCACCGACCACACGATGCCCTGCCATCCGATGACGAGCGCGGCGCCGGCCAGGATCAGCGCGTCAATGCCGAGCTGGACATAGCCGGCGCGCATGCCGCGCGCCGATTGCAGCCAGTAGACCAGGATGTTGATGCCGCCGAGCCCCGCGCCGTGGCGGAACAGCGCCAGAAGCCCCAGCCCGATCATGATCCCGCCGATCAGCGCGGCAAACCCCGGCTCCAGCGTCTCGATGGTGATCAGAACCGGGTAGTAGCGTACCAGAACGCTCATCAGCGCGATGGCGCAGAACGTCTTGATCACGAACCGCCAGCCCATGCCGCGTACGGCCAGCGCGTAAAACGGCAGGTTGAGCGCAAAGAACAGGGCGGAGAAATCGAGCCCGGTCGCATAGGAGATGGTCAGCGCGATGCCGGCAACGCCGGAAACGACCAGTTCGGCCTGCTGGAACAGAAAGACGCCGAACGAGACCAGCGCCACGCCGATCGAAATGGCGAAGATGTCCTCGGGCAGCGTGTGCCGGCTGGGCCGGATCATGATCATCGCCTGGCGGTCGGCTTCATCCGTGCCGTCGCCGTCCGGCTCCTGATGTGTATCGGTCACGCTGTCAGCATCCATGCTCGTGCTCGCCGAAGCCAGCCTTGAACCAAGCCCTCGCCGATTTGCCGTTTGCGATCAAGCATCGCCGCGCGCTTGGGCAAGCGCTATCGGCAGCGTCGTGGCGAAATGCGCCAGCTCTTCAGGCCGGCCGACGCTGACGCGGATACACCGGTCGAGCACCGGCGCCATCGGTTTGCGGACAAAAACGCCGCCATCCATCAGCCCCTTCAGAACCGCCATGGCATGGTTGCCGTCGCGGCCGCAATCGAGCGTTACGAAATTGGTTGCCGAGGGCAGGGCGGTGAGCCCGTTGTCGCCCCCGATCCGCGCGATCTCGTCGCGGGCCGCCGCGATCTTGCCCAGCGTGCCGGCCAGCCAGTCGCGGTCGCCCAGCGAGGCGAGGGCGGCGGCCTGCGCCATCACGTTGACGCCGAAATGATCGCGCACCTTGTCGAACGGGGCGATCAGCGCCTGGGTGCCGAACGCATAGCCGCAGCGCAGGCCCGCCAGCCCATAGGCTTTCGAAAAAGTGCGCAGCCGGATCAGGTTGGGCCGTGCGGTATCGACGGGCGGCAGCGTGCCCGCCGGCGCTGTCTCGCCATAGGCTTCGTCCAAAACGATCAGCGTTCGTTCGGGCACGGCATCGCAGAACGCGTCGATCGCGGCGGCGTCCCACCATGTGCCCATCGGATTGTCCGGGTTGGAGACATAGACGATCGCCGCGTCCTCGGCCCGCGCCGTGGCGGCGAGCGCATCGAGGTCTTCCCGGTCGTCGCGATAGGGCACCGTGACAAGCCGGCGGCCATAGCCGGCGACATGATAGTTGAAGGTCGGATAGGCGCCGAGCGAGGTGACGATTTTGTCGCCTTCGCGCGCAAAGATGCGCACGATCAGGCCGAGAAGACCGTCAATGCCCGGCCCGACGACGATCTCCTCCATGGCGACGCCGAGACGGGTTGCCAGCGCCTCGCGCAGCGCCCAGCTTTCGGGGTCCGGATAGTTCCGGACCGCCTCGCGCGCCGCCCGGGCCATCGCCGCGGTCGCCGCCGGCGCCGCGCCGAAATTGCCCTCATTGGCGCCCAGCCGCGCCTCAAACGCCATGCCGGTCTCGCGCTCGGTGCGCTCGGGCGCAACGAAAGGGATTGTCGCCGGCAGGGCATCGACGAGCGGATTGGGGCGTGGCGGCATGAACGGCGCTCCTGCGGGTCTGGTGGCGCCGCTGATAGCAGATTTTTGCGTTTCGGTAAGCGGGCGTTGCGCGGCTTGGAACGCATCCGTCGGCGCTCCGTCACCACCTGTCCTTTGAGCCCGAAAGGCGGGGCGAGGGCGCCCGACAGGACCGACCGCGTCGGATTTGGCCAGCACCCGCCGGTTTGATCCTGCCGCGCGCCGTGGCAGGCCGCACGAAACTGCATCGGTGGCGGTTGCAAAATCGCCGGAAATCCTCGAAAACGCCCGAACGGAGAGGTGGCCGAGTGGTCGAAGGCGCTCCCCTGCTAAGGGAGTAGGCGGCAAAACCGTCTCGAGGGTTCGAATCCCTTCCTCTCCGCCACCATTACCATTGCGAACCCGTTCATGCCGCCCAACCGACGCGGATTTTCTCCTGTTTTCAAAGGGGTTTGCCGGTTGCGTGCGAACTGACGTGCTCCCCTGAATGTACCCATTCATAGGTTAGCCCTGTGTAGCGCGTCGAGAGGTTTTGCTTTTTTTTGCAAGAGGTTTTGCATCAGTTCGGATTTGTAGCCGCGCGCGCCCGATTGGGCATTGAGGCACTCTCAAACCCGATTTGAATATCCCTCAAAGGTTCCTCCCCGAGATGATCAGTTCGCCGAACTTCCCCGGCTTCTTTCCGTTGACCGTGTAGGTGCAATCGACGGCCTCGATGGTGAAGCCGGAAAACATCTCCCGGATTTCCGGTTTGTCGTTGATCGACAGGATGAAAGAGCCCTTCAGCTTTGCCAGCCGCTGGGCCATGGTCGCGAAGTCCTCCCGCCCGAACAGGCCCTTGCCGTAGTCCTCTTCGTTCCCGAAATACGGCGGATCGAGATAGGTCAACATCCCCTCGCGATCATGCTTGTCGAGAAACCTTTGCCAGTCCAGGCACTCGATGAGCACACCGGCCAGCCTTTCGTGAACATCTTCGAGAAGCGGAGCGAGCCGGGTCAGGTTAAAGCGCGCGCCGCCGCGCCGATCAAAGGCGAAGTTCCTGCTGGCCACCTTGGCCCCGAACGCGGTCCGCTGCAGATAGAGGAAGCGAGCCGCCCGTTCTAGATCGGTCAACGTGGCCGGGTCGGTTGCCGACAGGCGCTCAAATTCGCGGCGGGACGTGAGCTGGAATTTCATCACCTCCATGAACTGCGGATAGTGCCGCTGGAGGATGCGGAAGAGATTGGCTACTTCGCCGGAGATATCGTTGACCACCTCGGTCTTGGGCTGCCGGTTGCGGCGAAAGAACACGCCGCCCATGCCGACAAATGCCTCGCCATAGCCGTCATGCGGCGTGGCGTTGATGATCTCGATGATCCGGCGGGAGAGCATGCGCTTGCCGCCCAGATAGGGAGCGGGTGGAGAGACGGGGTCCACATGAATGAATGAGATGGTTTCAGGCTTTGGCATGGCGCTATGCGGCTTTCAGAGAATCAGTCACCATGGGTCTGCTTGCGAAAGCGAGCCGGGTGAGATGTTGTCTTTGAGCGCATCTGACGGGTCGGACGCCAATCTTGGCCCGTCGTTTGGAGCGTTTCAGCGCTCCGGCCGCCCGGAAATCATGGCGGCGGCTCTCCATCATTTGCCTTCAAAACATCCACGGCCAGAGCCTTGATCAGCTCCGCCGCCCAGAGCCGCCCGATCCATCGGCCGGGCTGAGGATTTGCCGCTGTCGGCACCTCGCGGACAAATAGCTGATAGCCAAGCTCCAGCACCTCGAATTGCCGCGTGTCCGGACAGCCGAGCATGCGCACGAGGCGCGCCTCTTCGGGGAAATCGCCAATGGCCAGATCGGCCAGCGGCACTTCGGTATAGCCATTCAGGAGGTTCGCCTTGCGCAGTTGCCCCATGGCGCGGATGGCGGCTTGCGTCGTCATTCCACCGTCCTCAAATCCACGCCGGTGATCCAGCCATCCTCACCTGCCGAGACGTCGTGGGTCGCCCCTTCGATCTCCCATTGAAGGTCATCAATGCCCGGCCCGAAACCGGACAGCGGGGCCGGTGCGCCAGCTTGTGCCAGCGCATTGCCTGCCATCTCGACGCTCCCTGTGCCGGATGCCTGATTGAGAGCCTTTCCAGCGGCCTTTGCCGCACGCTTGGCTTCGGCTTCGCTCGCCAGCGGATGAACCATCGCCGCCCGGCTGAACTCGGCCGCTGTGGTTTCCAGCGCGGCTTTCAGGCGGCCGGTCTTGATATCCATCCACGGCCCGCTGATTTCCTTGTGCTGCGGGCGCGGGTCGATGTCGAAATCATAACCATAGTTCGGATCACACCGGATCGGGCACGGCGGCAGGCCGCCTCCTGAAACGCTTGTGCCCGCGCCTCGCGCCCTGACGACAAGCATGCCGTTCTGCGGCTTCATCACCGCGCCAAGTTCATCGGCAAGATCGGCCGCAAAGTCGATGGCCGCCTGGTTCCAGCGCAGGCGGTATGGAATTTCGATATTGGCGATGGCCGGGTCGATGCGCGCGCTCACACCGGCATCGGCGGCCAGCTTCTCGAAGATTTTGCCTGCCGTGCCGAAGCCGTTTTCCTTGTCGTAGTGGCGGCTGTCGGCCGACTTCATCTTGTCGAGAAAATCCGCCGCCCGGCACACCAGCTCAAACGTCTTTCCCTCCTCCGGATCGCCGCTTTTGCGGAAGGTCTCGAAGCTGTAGATGCCGCCAATGGTCCCGCCGCCATCCCTGAAACCCGCCTTGACGCGGTATTGGGTTCCCTTGGCCGGTGGCCGGTTCCAAGGGACCTTGTCGGCCATGCGGATCACGCATTCATCGCTCTCGTGGCCCTCCTGATCAGTGATAGTGATGCCCAGAAACGCCGGTCCAAGACCAGGCACGATGTTGCTGCCGGAAGGGCCGAAGATCGAAATGAAAGGGCGGCGGACACTCATGGCGTCACTCCCATGGCCGCAGAAGATCGTCGGACGGCGTGGTGTCCACTTCGGGCACCATCAGGGACGTGCCGCCCGGCACAAAAGGCGAAAGGGCCGCAAGGCCCGGATTGGCATCGAGAAGGGCTTCAACCGTGCCGCCCTGTTCGGTGCCGTAGAGCCGCTTGGCCAGCCGGTCGAGCCGCTCGTAAGGTGCCAGCACTGTGGCGCGTCCGTCAGCCATTGAGCGCCCCCCAAAGCCGCCGCGCCTCCATCATCGCTGTGGTCTGAACGCTGCTGAAGTGAACGAATTCGAAGCTCACTTCGGTCTTGCGGCCAACACCTGTGAAGGGATGCGGCAGGTCCTCGCCGATTTCGAGCGAGCGGATCGTGCCCGTTGACAGCACCTCGCCGAGATAGGACCGGCCGAGCCGGATGTGGTTGACAACATCCTGCCGCCTTTGGTGCAGACGCAACCACTCCACCATGTCAAGCCCGCCGGTCACCAGCGGATAGGTGACGCCGGTAAAAGTGGTTACCTCTTCGCCCATCCCCGTCAACTGATAGTCCATTCCCTCGAAGGTCGCCCGGCCAGGCACGCGCGCTTCGCCGGTAAAGCTCGCCCCTTGCGGTGAAAGCCCCCAGGGCTTGAGCCGTGCCCGGCCGATGGCAATTGCAAAACCGGCCATCAGTTGGGTCCTCCCGTCTCATGCAGCGCGCCGTTCTTGCTCGCCCGGATGGCCCGGTTCTCATCGCGAACAGCTCTGCGGCCAGTCGCCCCCGATGGTTGGTTGATGGAGATGTTGACCGCCGCCTTCCGGATTTCTGCCGCTGCTGCAGCGCCGATTGCCGCACCAATCTGTGCGGCTTGTCCCTGCATCAGGCCGGTCGCCTCCGAGCCCAAATCCCGGCCCGCCTGGCTCACCTTGCCGGGCGGAATGTCCACCTCGATCGGGTCAATGTCCGGCACTTCAATCTCGCCCGGCCGGACTGGCCTTCGGGTCGGAACGGGGATGGCTTCATCGCGGGGTGGCGCAGCAACCCGATCGGGACCAGGCTGAGACGGGCGCACTTTGGTGTCTGATCCGCCATCATTTGCAGACAGCGAACCTTCCGGCAAACCGCGCTGACGCTCCAGTGTTCTCAGGTCGGCCTCAAGCAGGGCGATGCTCTGTTTCAGTTCAGCAAGCTGGAAATCAGCGCCAGGCACCATGGCCTTGTTCGCTTCGATCGTATTCAGCCGCTCCCGCGCTGAAGCGATCTTGTCGCGAATTGGCTGCGGGTCCATGTTCTCAAATCGAAGATACCGAGCATAGTCTCTCGATATGAATGACGTGATCGTATCCATGACGCCATCGACGAGTGGCGTGACAAATCCATCGCCGATCTTGCGTCCTTCAGCAGCGAGCGCCGCTCCACGGCGGTCTGATCTCGTCTTGCTCAGTTCGTTGACGATTTTCAGATCTTCATCGACGGCACCCTCGCTCTCGTTGCGCACCTGATCGAGCAGCGAGATGTACTTGTCCATCTTGTCGGTCAGCGCCTGCAAGGCAAGCCTGGCATTGGTGTCGGCAACCAATTCTCCGAGGCCAAACTGGTCGGTTAGACCACGCTTCTCGATCTCGCCGATCAAGGCGGTGACCAGCGGTTCCCCGGCATCCTGCGCGGCTTTAGCAACGGCTTTCACGTCGATGCCGTTCTCGCCCATGCGTTTGATGACTTCCGGCGAATAGACCTTGTTGAGGATTTCACGCAGCGCAGTCCCAGCCTCCCCGGAACTGCCCACATTCTCCCTCACGATCTGTGCCATGGCGATGAGTTCGGTGGCAGCATCGAGGCCGCTCCGGCCAGAATTGGCATAGACGGACGCCAGTTCCGGGAAAGATCGCGCCATGTCCTCGATCTCGAAGGAACCAAACTTGCCGCCAGCCAGCATGGCGTCGAGCGCAGCCGGAACATCCTCCTTGGCAACATCAAGGTTCTGCATCAAGGCACGCACTGCCTTGGCAATCACGTCGGGACGGGACCCGGATGCCTTTGAGGCCCGAAGGATTGGTTCAAGAACGGCATCCTGCTCGGGACCGACCAGGCCGCCTTGTGCGAGCGCCTCTTGTGCCGAAAGAATATCGTCCTGACCAACCGCATAGCGGAGCGCCAACTCGTCATTGCGCTTCTGTTTTATGGCGCGGCGTTCGGGAGAGAACTCTCCTTCGACCAACATGAGGCGCGTGAGGCTCTCTTCCAGTTCATCGGCGCGGGTTTTCATCTCGGCCATGCCCTGGATGATTTCCTGCGCCCCGAAGGCCATACCCAGACCGGCCGCAATTCCGGCAGCCGAAGCATGCAGTTTGCCAAGTGGCGCGACGAGAGCCTGCGCCTTGCCGCTCCCGGCCACCTGATTGACATCCCGCATCTTGGCTTCGGTCCGGTCGGCCGCGCGGCCGAGCGCACGCATCTCGTTTTCCGCAGCGTCGGTCTTGATGCGGTTCAGCCGCTGGGCGGCGTCTTCCAGCGCGGCCACATCGGCGCGCGCCATGTCTGCGGCCGTGCCGATCTCGCGAATTTCTGCCTCGGCCGCTTCGGTTTGCAACCGGCCAAGCTGGCGTGCGGCAGTTTCCACCCCCTTCATGTCGGCGCGCGCGGCATCTGCCGCTGCACCCAATTCCTTGAGTTCTCCTTCAGCAGCCTCGGTATCGATCAGCCTGATTTTCTGTGCGGCACTGTCGAGCGCGGCGACATCGGCGCGCGCCATGTCTGCGGCCGTTCCGATCTCGCGAAACTCCGCCTCGGCCGCATCCGTGCTGATGCGGTTGAGCTTGCGGGCTTCATCATCCAGCCGTCCGATGTCTTTGGCAGCTTCGCCCGCACGGTTGCCGATCGTATCGAGGTCGCGGCCGAGGTCATCGGCATTGACCTTGCCGAGATCGCGGGCGGTGTCCCGCAAGCGCTTCAGCGCTTTTTCCGCTTCAGCGCCTTCCTTGTCGACATCCTGGTCGAGGCGCAGGCGCATTGTGACATCGAGATTGCCACTCATCGGATGTGGACCTCCTCACGCACCTCGGCCCACCATAAAAGGAGCTCGTGCCACGGCATGCGTCTGGCCAAGGCAAAGACAGGCTCTCTGGTTGCGCGCGATACGTCCATCAGCACCACACGCCATCGCCGGACATCGACGACTACCCGCTTGTGCTCGCGCCACGGAAGGCGCGGGGCAAAAAATCGCGGGCCGCCTCCACGATCGCGTCGCCATCAACCGACTTGAGGCCGCGCAGCTCGGCGACGGATATCCGTGTCATGGCGGCATAGATTTCCACCAGCTCGATGCCGTCTTCATCGCGGGCCTTGCGGCTGAAATCCTGAACTTCGCCGAGGGTCAGCGGATGAACGGTGTGGCTTTTGACCAGCTTGCCGTTGCGGCGATAGGGAAAGGCGAGCGTGATGACCGGAAACTCGCAATCCACAAAATCAAGTTCATCGATCGGCAGCTTGGACGCTCGCGCGGTGGGCGAAGCGGATTGCGCCTCTTCCTCCACGCGAGCGTCCTTACCGTCCTGGGAGGGAACCGGCTCGATACCGTCAAAATCCGGGTCTTCCGGCGGCAGCGGGATGTCGTCGATGGGCAGGGTTTCTGTTTTCTTGGGCACGGCGGCGGCTCCTGTTGATGTGTTGCTCCCCTTTTATCAACATCGGGGAGCAGGCTGGTTCTCTGATCTGGCGCAGCCGAGGCCGCAAGCGCGGCCCGCCGCCGGTGCGGCGCGTGGTTCGCAGGCCAGCCCGAAGGGCGAACGGCCGTGAGAACAAATCAAGCCGCGATGATCTGGTTGTGCTCTTCGGAGTAGTTGACCCCGTTGATGACCAGACGGTTAGACTGCGGCGTCATCTGGTGGATCACGCGGCCATCCATGATGTCGCGATAGTCGACGATCGTCGCAAACTTGTACTGCGTCGCCTGCGCCTTCTTGCCCTCGATGTCGGGCTGCTGGACCTCAGAGAGAAGGCCCTTCAACATGACGACGCGGCCGATATTGCGCTTGGCGCTTTCAAGCCGGATGTCGCGGATGCGCTCATACCAGTAGAGCGTTGACCAGTCGCCCGGCTCGCGGCCGAACTCGGAGCGCACATATTCATGGCCGCCATTGAGCGAGAAGGTGCATTCCAGCGGCTCGATCTCGTAGGGAATGTCGAGCTTGAAGAACCCGCCGCCCATGCCGAGCGTTTCGCTGGCCCTCTTCAGGTCCGGCAGCTTGCATTTGGCGAGCGCCAGGCGGAGATTGGCGGAATTGAGATAGAGGTTGCCCCCATAGATGACGCGATCCATTTCAGTTGTCCTTTGTTACTGCGCGACACGGATGCGCGGGTTACCAAGCGCCGTCAGGGCTGCGCCGACGCGGCCCGCCAGAAGATCGAAGGCTTCGGGCTGCGGCTCGGAATAGATCATCAGGTCAGAGAGATCGGGCGTTTCGGCAAAGCGCATCTTGGTGCGCAGGCCACCAGCTTCGAGAACCGCCGCACCGTTCAGCGACTTGTCCCAGACCAGCTCGTAATCGACCAACGCGCCGATCTCCGGGTTGAGCAGGTCTTCGAGGAAATCCGCGATGTCGCGGTAGATCAAGCTGACCGCGTGCGGCCCGACATCGGCGGCAAGGTGCTTTCGAATGCTCTTCAAGGTCGCCTTTTCGACCGCTCGACGGGTGCGGATGCGCTTGATCGAGCGATAGCCGATGGTGGTCGGATCGGTCGCGGTGGTAAAGCCGCCCCAAAGCCGGTTGCCCTCGATGACGGTGACGACACCAGCCTGGTTGAGCGTATTGGCGTCGTGGGTTGTGCGCCCGTCCTGATAGGTCACGGTCTGCGATGTGCCGAGCACCCCGGTCAGCTGCCGGTTCCAGGCAGCCTTGAACGGGTTGCCGACCTCGGCATCGCGGATCAGGTGTTCGGCGGCCACATGGGTCGAAAGCGGGCGCACCACATTGGCCCCGCCCAGATTGACGATCACCTGAGGATAGCAGGCGATGAGGTTGTAGACACCCTTGAAGTCTTCGGCCGCCTCGATCGCTGCCTCGCGGTTGGTCACCGGCGTGTCGAACACGCCCATGCAGTCGATGATCTCGTCGCAGACGCTGTCCATCGCCGCGACCACCGGGTTGGCCGCGCCGCCCGGCCGCAGCGCGCCATAGGAAGGCGAGATCAGGAAGGTCGGCTCGTACTGGACGTGGGAAAGCGCACTCTTGAACCCGTGCATGCCGGTCTGGGCAGCCGGTTCACCGGCAATCAGGCCAAGCTGGGTCTCTGGGTCGGCATCTTCCTGCGCGCGGATGAAGGCGATCTTGGCAACCGCTCCGGCGAGAGCGAACTGGTTGAGCGTATCGCGGGCAAGCGTTCCGGCCGGAAACTGCTCGATGGCCACAGGGTCGGTCAGATCGACGAGGAACGGCTCGTCATAATCCATGTCGTTGGACGCGCCCGGAACCGGCAGGCAAATGCCAAGGCCACCATCACGCACCGAGATCGCGGAGCGGGTGTTGGAAAGATCGGAGAAGACGCGGACGCCGACATTGGGTGTGGTGCCAGACATGAAAAAGCCCTTCGGGACAAGTGAACGGGTTCGGTTGCCGTCACTGTCGCGGGCTTTTGCGGGATTGGCGGGGCTGGCAGGTGCCAGCCGTCAGGGCTTGGCCTGATAGTAGCCACCGGAGAATTTGGGATAATCGACCGCGTGGCCAGACTGCACCTGTTGGGCCGCGACATCAAGATCGTCAATAAAACACTGCGCGATGATCCGGTCGCGGTTGGTGGTCGCCGAGCGGCCATCGCAGATGCTGCCGCCACCGACCACGAGGCAGCGCACCGGCTTGCCCAGCGCAATGGCGGCGAGGTGCTCCGTCGAGGCGGCAAAGTCCGGAGCGCCGCGCTCGGGCGCATCGATGCCGCACAGTCGGATTTCGACATCGCCGATCTTGAAGCCGTCGCCATCGACGATGTGGGTGACGGTGCCAGTCAGTTCCGCCGCTTGCGCGGCCGAGGCGAGAAAGGCGAGGACAAGGCAAGTGATGACGGTCTTCATGACCTGCCTTTATCACGGGCAAGGAACGCCCGATAGGCCTTGCCGAGCGGCCCGGCCACACCGGCATACATGATTGTGCCAAGCACCACGCCCGGCAGGGCGAGCCACGGGTGGGCGGCGGCAATGGTCGAGGCGACACAGACGGCCAGTTCGCCGTCCGTGCCGCCGAGATCATGGGCAATGCAGCACGGCGTGATCGACACGCCGAACCAGACATCCGGCCAGAGTGTGCATTGCAGGTCGGGCATCATTGCATTAGCCAATCATGAGGGCTTGTTCCCACGCCCCATCAAGCGCCTCGTTGGATATGCCGATCACCGGTCCCAGGAGCGAAAACAACGGGTTGTCGCGGCGATAATTATCGCTGTCTGTCACACGCGCTTTCGCAATTGCATTTTCGACGGGATCGGAAACCACGCTGTCGATCGCGTCAAAAATCTGCTGTTGATTGAACCCAAGAATGGCAACTATCGCTTTGAACTGTACGCGCGTGAGCGGCGTATCTGTTGGTTTGGGTGGTTCTGGCGCAACAAAGGGTTCAATCGTGTTGCCAAGTGCTTCCCAATCCGCGACAGCTCTTCGAAATCGGTTGTCGGGATCGTCCACAAAGGTCTGTAAGACCCCATCAACAGTGGCACTGATTAGACCGGCTTCCTGAAATTTTGCATCGGTAACGTTCATGTTCTAGAGCTCCGCGTCTGCTGACCATTGCAAGTATTTGTCCGGAGAACCGCCGGTGGAGGTGGTCTCGTTTCGAAAGTCGAAATGCGTGGTTCCGATACGGATGATCTGGATTGATGCGCCGGTCGTCAAATTTGAAATCGCTATTGCCGGGATCGAGCGTTTGGTGACCGCAAAATTAATTATCGGGTTAAAGAGGTAAGCAACATTGGTGTCGCCAGTCAGCGTGGACCAGTGAATTTCTCCGTCACTCCTTTCGTAGTAACGTTGGCAAAGCGCCAGTTCATGTGAAACGTGTCTGGCAAAAAACGGGTCAGCTTGTGTATGATCGCCACGAACCAAAGAAACCTTCGTTGCTGTCGAAGGAACAACAACCGAGGCATTGCCACCCGCCACTGTTGCCTTGATTGGGCTTGCCGCTGTTGTGCCGCCAAACGTGCCATTGCCGCCGCCGCCCCATGTCAGTGTGTATTCGCCAGCGGGAAGCGCCTCTATAATCTGCTCCAACCCACTTGCGTGGCCCTTCCAGCGGTCATAACCGTAGACGCCTACTGACTGTGCCTTGGTGAGTGCTCCACGCTGATTGATACTAAAATCACCATTGATGATCCAGTTCCAATTGTAAAACGGAAGAGAATTGACTGTAGGTGAACCAGTCAGCGCCGGTGAAGCGAGTGGCGCTTTGGTAGCAATCAGCGCACTGATTGTCGCCGCAAAGTTCTCGTCATTGTCGAGTGCTGCCGCCAGTTCCGCCAGCGTGTCGAGGCCCTCGGCCGCGCCTGCCTCGATGGCCGCGCGCATCGCGTCGATCGCCGCATCGGCCTCGGCCACCGAATAGGCCCCGACCTGCGCGGCCGTCACGGCATGCGGATTGTCGCGGTCGGCCAGATGGGCGGCATAGCCGGGGGCTACCGGCCAGATCAGCCAGTCGGCTTTTTCGGTTTCGCCAAAGGCTTCGCTCACCGTGACGCTCAGCAGCCCGTCGATGGCGACATAGCTCTCAAGCGTCGCCACCATGAAATGCGTCTTGTCGCTCGCCGAAACGATCAGCAGATGCGGCGTCGCCACGAAACCGCCACGTGTCGCAGCACTTAGAGTGAACTGTTTTGCCCCGATGGCCGGGATCAGCGCGGTCGCACTTTCTGCCTTGAACCATGCGCCGGTGTTGGCGAGCTTCTCCTGCGCGTCGCGCAACACGCCGGTGAAGACATTGTCGAGCCGCGACAGCGCCACCCGCTCCAGCTCGCTCGTCTTCTCGTCGATCTCCTTGCCGATCAGCTCCTGCGCATGGACGCGGTTGTCGATGTCCTCGAACCGCGTGTTGAGAACGGACGGATCGCCGAGATCGTCGCCGGGCTTCAGCTGGTAGCGGTCATAGCGCTTGGCCATCGATCAGTCCTTCACCTCGGATGCGGCCTCGATCGCGTCCTTGTGCTTTTCCGCGACGCTTCCCTTCATGCGGTGCTTGTCGGTGACCCGCAGCGTCTGGCGGCCGATGGTGATCGGGGCCTTCAGCGTCACGTCATAGCGGGCATCGGGTTTGAACTGCGGCAGTTTGGCCATGTGAGTGTCCTTTCTGGATTAGCTGGTGAACCAGACCAGCTCGGCGACATGCGGTGTGTCGGCCGCCGAATTGGTGATCAGGTCCTGGATGATGGTGAAGGCCGAAATCGGCGCGCCGAGCGAGAACGAATATATCTTCCGCACCCGCCGCTCGGCCGCATCGACCACCGTTGTCGTCACAAGGTCCGGCGCTTCGATGGCGGCACCGTTCGGCTTGATCGTCAGCGCATGATCGTGCGGTGTGTCGTTGAAGTTTTCGAGCAGCACCTCGAAGGTCAGCGTGTCCGACGCCGATCCGAGCGTGATCTCCTCGCTGATATGCTTGGCCGTCAGTGCGGGCCGCGACACGATCACCCGGCTGTCGGTCAATTGAAGCGCAGGCATCATGTCGCGCGAACCGATGAAGCGGGCGCGGAACTGCGCCAGAACCGGGGCAGCGGAGAGCACCGTCAGATTGTTGACGGTCAGCGGCTGCCAATCGCCCGCACCGCCCGGTCGCATCTCGAAAATCAGTTCCGTGCTTTCCGGCGCCCACATATGGGCGAGGATGTCGATGTCGCGGAAACCGCCATCGAGGTTGATCGTCTCGAACTCGATCGTCACATGCGGCGCGTCGAAGCGCGCGCCGCGCAGGCGGAACATCATGTCCTTGGTCAGGTCGCCAAGATAATAGGCCCCGTCTGTCGAATAGAAGAACGTCCCGTCAAGGAAGTTCTGGCCGCTCGTCATGCCGATCTGGTGATTGGCGTTCGAGATCAGCGTCAGCGCAAAGCGGTTGCCCTTGCCCAGAAAGGTCGGCGGCAGGGCAATCGTGTTCCAGCCCGCGATGATCGCGTTGTGGTCGAGCACCGAGTACGCAATCGTGCGGGTCTTGTCCGGCTGGCCGTTGACCACTTCGCAGATCGCCAGATGGATGTTTTCCGCGCCGCCCTTCTGGCCGATCCAGATATCGACGCCGGTCAGCCACATGTCGTTGGCAATCGGGAAGGTCTGGGCCACTTCCGCCCCGGTGATCGCGTGGTTGGTGGTCTCGGTATAGAGGAAGGGTTCGCGCCAGCTGTCGAACCAGTACTGGTCCTGGCGATAGTGAATGTAGGAACCCTGCGCATAGGTCGCATACTGGTTGACCAGCGCCTGGCTTTCGAAATCGAAGACGTTCGACATCACTGGCTCGCCGGACGCCGTGTCGTAGACCACGCCATTGGTGCAGACGAATTTCGAGCCGCCATAGCGCAGGCGCGACCGGCTCATATAGCCAACCTTCACCTCATGGTTCTGGAAGCCGTATTGCGCGATGCCGAGGCCCGAATGGAACACGTCATTGGCGATACGGATTTCGCTGGTGTGGCGCGGCAGGAGGATGCCATTGTTGACCGAGGCATTCGGATCGAGCGCCGAAAACAGCGCGATCGAGAACTGGTCGGCATTGGCGTCCGGCAGGCGGATACCTTCCTCGACCTTGGCATTGTAGCCAAGCGCCTGATCGTTCTGCCAGTCGTCATTATCGCCCTTGATGAGATAGTAGAACGCCCCGTAATTGGTGGCGTCTGCCGGAAACGACAGCGCTTCCTTCAGCCGGGCGATGTCGCGCTTCATGGCGCGGATCGTGTGCTGGCTAGCAGACCCCGCCGCCTGCCGGGCAAGATCGGCAAGGTCTGAGCCGAGACTGTCAACGCGCGGCGTGATCTGCCCGCGCCATGTTTCAAGCGAGCGGGCGCGGCTGTCGAGCGCCTGTGTCGAGACCACCTGGTTGGCGCTGAGCATCGTGATCGAGAGCACCTGTGTCGGATCGAGCAGCACGCGCGCGATCTCGACATGTTCGGCGGGCAGCGCGGGCGGCTGCGGATCGCCGCTCTCCTGGCCTTGTGTGACGACGAGTGTCGCCTGGCGGGCGCGCACGGTATCGACCACCACGGGCGTCGTCTCGCCGGTCTCCTGGTCAACCAGCTTGTCGCGCTGCTCGGTCTCGGTATCGACGACACCGCCAAAGACCGAGATCGAGACGATGCGCCGTGCGGCGGCTGGCAGATAGCCGAGCATCGACTGGGTGAGCGCGGTGACCCGTGAATAGACCGCGCCGGTCGCGTCATAGAAACGGCCGGGCTGGATCGTCACCTCAGCCTGGTCGGACTTGGAGACGGCAAAACCGGCAAACCGGCGCGCCGTCGTCACCGCATCGCGCACCAGGCTGTCGAACGTGTCCTGCGTGAAGTCCTGGAGGTTGTTGTGATCCTTGGCCTCCTGGCTGTGGTAGTCGCGGAAGATGACCTTCTTTTGCATGGCCGGTCCTTTCTTAAGAAGCGAGCGGTCTGCCGGTGATGAGCGATGTGCCCATGATCAGCGGCTTGCCGACAGTGAGAGTGGTGCTGGGTGAAAACTGCAGATGGATGGTGTCTCGGCCGGACTTCGCATGCCCGAGTGCCCGGCGCAGCAAGCGCAGCGGCTTGGCGTCAACGGGCACCCAGAAGCGCGAATGCGGGATGATCGGCCCGAAGCCTGCCCTAAAGCGAATATTGCGGCTTTTCATGTCGACCGACAGGCGCAGCGTATGGGAGGGCCAGCCATAATAGCCGGTGCCCATGAACTGGCAGGCAAGCCGCAGGCGCGCGCGATTGTAGGCAGCACCCGGCAACAGCACCGCCCAGCGGTCATAGAGACGCTCGGCCGCCGTCGAGGGCACGAAGAACTGGCGGTTCAGAAGGTCGCCGTCAAGGACCTGGTAAGGATTGCGCGGCGCATTCTCGGCAATGCGTTCCGGCTCGGCGGTGATTGCCCTGAGCCCCGGTCCGATCGGGCCACGTCCGGCCAGCCGGGATTGCGGCGCGACCGTGAACACGCGGGTCGATGCTGTGCCCGGCACAAAGAACTGTTTGGCAAAGACCGCATTGGAGAAGACGGCATAGCCGCGAACGCTCGGAAAATGCAGGCGGTAGCTGGAGCCGTTTTCCTCGACACGGGCCGCACTCTCCGACCCGTCGGCAAGCCGGTAGATCGCCTCGCGTCGGCGCGGCACGCAGGGCACAGGATAGGCGGTCTCGAAGAAGGACGGCCGAAGCGCCCCACCGGCACGCAGCTGATAGGGCTGCGACCGGCTCACGCGCGGCAGGAACACCCGCACCTGCGGCAGGCTCGACAGCCAGGCCTCGCGTTCGGCCCGCGTCTGGCTTGGCCCTGAAAACACCCTTTGAGGCGGCCGTGTGACCTGTCTGATCCGCGCGCCTGCCATGTCGGCATAGCCGCGAATGGCGTGGAGCGTGCCCTTCTTGCGTTCAAGATTGATCTGGCTGGCGATGATCGCGCGCTTGCGCATCTCCGGCCATGATGCATCCCAGAAATCGACCGAGAGCGTTTCGGCAAGCCAGGGCAAAAGATCGACCGGGCAGGTCCACGGGTTCCAGAGCGTCTCGATGATCGTCGGCTGGCGGTCGAGCCGTTCGGAGACAGCACCCAGCGCTACCGGCACCGGGGCCAGATGGCTCGCCATCATGGCGCGTTCATGCATTGAAAGTGGGGCGTTCACGGTGCCACCTCCCGGATCGAGAGGGCGATGTCGCCGTGATCGAGAAGCGCCGCCTCGTCGCGGCCGCAGATGATGTCGGCAGCGGGCCGGTGGAGCACCACGTCATCGACGCCTGCAACCGACAGCGTCTTGATGAGCGCCGAGCGGAAGACCGTCTTGCCCGTTTCCCGGCGCTCGCGGTCGAAGTCGATAAGAGCCTCTTCCGCCTTGGCAACGATCAGCTGCTGGTCCGCGCCGTGGGCGATCAGCAGTTCGGCTTCTACGCCATAGAGGCGCAGGAACGGTCGGCGCACCACGACGATATCTGTTGCGGGCAAGACCGTTTCCCCATCGAGCGCGGTGCGGATGCGCTCAAGCGTTGCGTCCTCGACCGCGCCTTCGGCGGTAAGCGGAACGACATTCATGCGCCGAGCGTCGCCGGTACCGGAGACAAAGGCCGCGACATGAACGGTTTCGGGTGCCGCCGTCATGGCGAAAAAGCGGTAGGCGTCAATTGGCCCGGCAACCGAATAGGCACCTGGTGCCAGTGTGATGCGGGTCCTGAGCCGCTTGTCGCTTTCGCCGGGCAGACGCTCGACACCGAAGGCAGCGGCCAAATTTTGCAGGTTGTTTCCCCAAGAGGAGCGCAGCATCACGGCTTTCGCGGCATCATTCACGCGTTGGCGCAACAGCATTTCGCGGGTAGCGAAGGTGCGCAGCGCCAGAACCACCGGCTCGCTCTCGATCATCAGCGTGTCGAAGTCGGGCAGATCGAGGTCCTCCGTGGCGACGCGCTCTTCATAGAGCGTCTTGAAGTCGGCCTTGACCGCCTCGAAAATCTCGGCAAACGAGATGGTCTCCAGGACATCCGGGATTGGCAGACCATCGAGATTGATGACGTCGAAGCTCATGCCGCCACCCGGTTGTTGCCGAGACCGGCGAGTGTTGCGATCCGCAGCGCATCGACCCGTTGCGCCTCGGCGATTGCGTAGTTGCCGAAGCGGCCTTCCGGGAAATAAATGCCGCCATAGGCAAGGCCGAGCGAACCCTGCTCGGAAAGCGAGACAAAGCGCAGCGTCATGATCCGGAATTCCGGCTCCCATGTGTGGGCGGCCGTGACCAGATCATCATAGATGTCGAGGGCGAGCGCGGGCGTCAGGTCACCGGCGAGATTGCCGCGTAAATCCGATCCGAAGTCCAGAAGCATCGGCAGCGTCTCGGTGCGCGTCATCCAGATGATGGCGAGCGATTGCGCCACATGCGCAAAGCCGGTCAGCAGACAGCCTGTCAGCTGGTCACTTCCCGTTCTGTACCGGATCGCCCGCGCCATGGTTCACTCAGCCCTTCGCTTGTCCGGTCTTCCCGACACGCGCGATCGTGCCCATGGTCTCTTCGACCATGGCCTCTTCGGCGGTAAGGTCGAGCACATCGCCCGCCTTGACGCGACGTCCTGCAACGCGGGGACCGGCCAGCTCGGTGACGCGCCACTTGTTCGTTTCAGAGGCCCGCATGCCAGAACCAGCAACAGCGGCAGGAGGCTCGCCAGCGGGGCTCGTTTCTGCCTCGACCGGCAGCTTGGCCGGATCGGCTTCGGGCAAGCCTGTTTCGGAAGTGTCTTGTGTGTCTGAAGGGCGTTTGGAAGCCATTTCACGGTGTCCTCTCAGGTTGCTGAAACGATGGATGAGCCTTCGACAATCGGATGAAGGCCAGCCGACGAGCCGTAGAGCACCTCGACCCGGTCTCCGACGCGGGCAACCTTTCGGCCGCCTTCTCCGCCAAGCGTCACGGTGTCGGCATCGACATGGACATTGGCCGCGGCGACACGTGTGCGGTCGCCCTCGATGGTGATGCGGGTGCCATCATCGAAGACGAGCACAGCCTCGCTGTCCTTGTCCGAGGGCGATCCATGATCGTCGTCATAGGTGGCCCAGTCGGCCATCGAAGCTTCGCCGACCGTGCCGGATGCGGACGCCAGCACCATCTGTTCATTGTCGGCCGGGACCGAATGGATTTTCAGGCGGCCCGCGCCCTGCTGTTTCCAGCGCACCGGCGGCGACAAAATCTCTTCGCCGTCCGCCGTCTCGCCGACGACGAGGCGCACGGTGCGCGTCTCCTTGTCGTAGGAGCCGGGCTTGACCTTGCCGGGCAGACTGGCCGTCGCGATACGCCGGTTGGCCTGGGCAATCTGGCGGCGCAGCACGCGCAGTTCACGGGCGGCAAGCGAGCGCATCATGCTTCCTCCGCTTCGGCAAAGAGTGCGGCGAGCGCATCGGCGTCCGGATCGGAACCCTCGGCGATGCTCAATCCATCCTCGATCGAGGCAGGAGGCTCACCCCAGGCAAAATCATCATCGGTCGCAATCGACGCGCCTTGGTCGATCAGCTGCTGGCTCCAGGAGAGCGCATAGAAGGCCACGCCCTTGGCGTAGCTGCGCGCGGTGAAGATCGGCTTGAACTCCGGAGCAGGTGTCCTGAGCGGCGGCGTCAGCCCGTTCACGCCGAACGTATCGTGGCTCTCATGCATCAGGAGGCGGACCAGGCGCTTGCCGATCGCATGGGCCACATCCTCGCGCGGCACGCTCCGCTTGGAGGCGAGATCGACAAATTCCTCGACGGCGAGATAGGCGACCAGGTCCACCGTCTCGGTATAGTGTGCCGCGACATCCATCTCCGGACGTGAACGCGTCCATCCGATCATCACGGCGGGCGTGCGCTTCAAATCCTGCTGGAGGATGTCGGCGATATCGAGCTTGCCCGGATGGGTCTCGACATGGAGGCCGGGGATCTGCGCGGCGAAACCTGCCGCGACACTGTCAAGCAATGCGCTGAGGCTCGGGGCGTTCAGAAGGTCGGCAATCGGGGTCGGATCAAGCGGGCCGCGCATTATTGCAGACCTCCGATCCCGAAAATGTCAGTGACCAGCTCCAGAAGCTCGGCGCGGTTCTCCTCGGACAAACCCACAAAAGGCCGCGCCGGAATGACTGATTGCTGTGTGCGCGCGAATTTGCCGCCGATCGAGAAGACTAGCGCATCGGCTCCTTTTGGCACGATCGTCGCGCCTTCCTGATGAACGTGCGCATGTTCCCAGGCCGCACCCCATTCCGCTTCGCTGTCGCTTGCCGTGAAGGCGACGCTTGCGAGCAGGTTTTGCCCGGTGCGCTGGAGGATCGAGGTGCCTTCGGCATTGGGCAGCCAGGGCGTTCCGTCCGGCGCGGTTTTCTCCGACGTGATGCGCCGCCGCGTCTGGCTCTCGCCGAGTGCGCCTGCCGGTTCCATCAGCTCCGATGGTTGGAAATTCGTGATCGGGCCCAGCGCCGTGATCGCGGCGTCGAGTTCGGAGACATCAAGGGTAAAGCCAAAACTCATGGTCAGAGCCCTCCCATGCGGCGGCGGGTGAAGAGCCGTTCCGGCGCATCGACCAGAACCTCGTTCGGGCTGATCGCCGTTCCGCCATCGAGACCGCCGCCATTGTCGAGGTCGGAGCCTTCGAAGGTCAGCCCGCCCTTGCCGGACGCAATGGCTTCCAGCCGCTTGATCGCGTCATTGCGGCGGTCCTCGATGCGCTCGTTGGAGCGCGAGAAGGCGAGCGCGATCCGGTAGAGCGCGATGTCCATGCAGAGCACGCGCAGGCCTTCGAGACTGTCGGCGTCAAGCCGCGCAAGGTCTGCGGTCGTATAGCGGCCCTTCAGGATGAGCCGCATTTCGGAGGAGGCATCCGAGAGCGCCCGGTTGATGCGCTCGTCATCGCGCACGCCTGTCTGCTCGTCGGCCGCGAGCGTGATCAGCTCCTTCGGGTGGCGATCTTCAAGGTCAGCAAGTGTGGCGAATGGTTCGGCGGTCATTCTGGTCTCTCGTTTTCGGCGGTTTCAGGCAACGCGATGGAAAGTGGCTCCCTGTTTCGTCCGGCGTTGCGCAACTAAAAGGTCAGGCGGGTCGGCAGTGGCGCGGAGCCGCCGCCGAACGGTCCGGTCGGGCCGACCCGCCCTTACGCCCACTACGGGCGTCCGGGTGATCGGCGGATCAGTCCGTGGTCTTGTCTTCGTCCGTTTCAGGCCAGGGCGCGGTCACCGCACCAAGCGCAAGAAGCTCTGCATGCTGGTCCCGTTTCAGCAAAACCGTGTTTCCGGCCTTGGCGCGCTCACCATCGGCGCGCACATTGCTGGCGAGCACGAACTCTTTGCGGCCGACATCGGCCTCTAGCGCGGGGTTTGCCTGTGCTGCCGGAGGCGTCTCGGTCTTTGCCGATGCGCTCGCGCCGGTCTTTGTTTCGGGCTTCGCGTCGGACTTTGCCTCTTTCGGTGCGGTCTGTTTGGGATCAGCCATGGAACTCTCCTCGGGATTTCACTGAAGGTCACGGCGGCCCAGCGGCCGCCGTTTCAGGTGGCGGATCAGTCGCTGACGGCACCGGTGATCTGGTAGCCAACACCCTTGGCGATGATCAGCTCGCGCACGCGGTCGCCCTGGCGAATGCGCACACCGCCTTCAAGGCCGATGTCCTTGTCCTCGATACGGCCAGCGATGCGGGTGCCGTAGGTGGCGGTCATCCCGAAGGTGACATCGCCTTCCGGGCGCGCCTGCGGGTTGATGTAAAGCGCCTGGATGGAGTTGCCCCAAACGCGCTGCAGATCGACCGGCTGGCCTTTCTGGGCGACGTTTAGATAGCCTTCGCCGACGAGGATTTTGTTGACCTCAAAGAGCGCGGCCACTTCCTCGCGGCGCACAATGCCCTTGTCGGTCAGATTGCCGCGAATGGCGTTGACGATATGCGGGTGCGAGGAGATCGCCTGCCAGACCTTGTGGCCCATCACCAGCGTGTTGGCGCGGAAAATGAAGGTGCCGTTGATGGCTTCCTTCAGAACTTCGATCGGCTGGGAATTGTCGTAATCGTCGAGCTTGTCGGTGCCGACGAGCGCGACCTTGCGGCCCGCTTCGTAATTCGCCGGGTCCTGGACAAGGTCTGCGACACGCTTTTCCCGGCGCAGGATATTGGCGTCGGTGATGCGCATGACCGCATGCTTTTCCGGGTCGAACGTGCCGAGCCCCTGGGAGCGCATGCGGGCCGCTTCCGTGATGTCGGAATAGGGGATCGGGCTTTCAAAGCCGTAATCCTTGACCGCGCTTTCGCGCTCGCTGCCGCCGAATTCCAGTTCCGGCGTGCGGCCACGGCGGCCGACTTCGTTGTCCGGCACGGTGAAGGCTTCCTCGACACCATATTCGGTCCAGGAGAACTTCTCGCCGCCAACCGGCTGCATCGGCAGCACATCGTCGGCGATCAGCATGTTAGCAGTGTTGCGGTAGCCGATCGAGATCGCGGTCAGCGCGGGATCGACGACGAAGGGACGTTGGGCCATGGGTTCTTACCTTTCGAAGGGTTTAACGGCGGTCAGGATCAGACGGCTGCCGGAACGGCTGCCGCGCCCGGCTGGGCGAGATAGGGAATGACGTCGCCATCGACGCCGGGGGCCATGGCCATGCCAATGGTGCGCTTGGTTTCACCGGCTGCGATCTTGACCGCATGGGCGCTGGCGTCCGCCGTAAGCATGTCGCCTGCGGCAACCGTGCCGCCGAGCTTGACCTCGCCCCATCCGCCCTGGATCACGTCCGCCATGTCGCCGGATGTCGCGCCCTGCGCATCATAAGTGCCGATGAGCGCGTCATCGTCGGCGCTGGCAGGCGCGCTTTCCAGAAAGGCGGCTCCCGCCTTGGCGATGGTGTAGGGATCGGCGTCGGCGGTGGCGCGCAGCGATTTGATGAAGGTCGGGTTCATGACGGTCTCCGGAGTTTGGCTGGATCGGTATTGGCGGGCCTTCAGCCCTTCTTGCTCATGACGTGATCGACGGCGTCGGCGATCGAAACCGTCACGCCCTTGTCGGCCATCTCTTTCTGGTAGGCCTGCGCCTGCGCGGCGAGTTGGACAGGACCGGCATCAGCCGTCTCGTCCTTCGATCCGGGCGGGGTCTTCCCGTCGAGACCGGTCTGCGCGAGCTTCGGCGTCATCGCAGCGAGCAGCGCCTTGACCTGGTCAAAGCCTTCATCGGACGCGGCCAGCTTCTCATAGTGCTCGCGCTCGGCAGGCAGGATTTTCTTGGCTTCGAGCGCCGCTTCGAGTGCCGCATCGACATCCTGCTTGCGCACGGTGGTCTTCAGCGCGGTCAGCTCGTCATTGGTGGCGGTCAGCTTGGCGAGCGTCGCATCATGAACGCCCTTGTCGATCGAGCCGTTGAGCTTGGCGGTCAGGGCTTCAAGCATCGCGTCTTCGGACGCATCGGCGTTGAGGCCGAGCTTGGCGGCAAGACGGGCAAATGTGGTCATCGGTTTTGTCTCCGGAGTTTTGGGATCAGCGGTGGCGATTTCTGCGGCGGCGAGCGCGGGCATGTTGGCAAGCGCCGGTGCGGCGACAAGCGCCACCGAATGCAGCCAGGTGGCCTTGCCGAATTCGTCGTGCCGGAAGGTCGGCGAAATGTAGCGGTGGGTGCGTGCGGCGAGCACCTTGAGGCCGCGCTCCAGCCATTCGACATGGCCGTAAAGACCATCGACGCGGGCTTCGAGTTTGGAAATCCAGCCGACCGCGCCCTCTTTCTTGTCGCCCATGAAGGCGGACAGCGAATGCTCCATGTCGACGGCAAGGTCGATGCCGTCGGCCGCAAAACGCGCGGCGAGCGTTTCCGGCTCGAAATCATAGGCGCGTTCGTCGCGGGTGCGGACCTTGCCGCGCGGCGTCAGCTTGATGATGGCGGGCGGCGTCTTGGCGTCAGCCCCGGCATTGAGGCCGACAAGGATATCGCCCGCGCTCACTTTCGCGGTTGTGGCGGAGGCAGATTGTTTCTGCGAGGGGGTTGCGGCAGCATGTGTCATGGGGCCACACTGGCCGCACAGGCGCTCGCCCGTGGGGCTGGCAACTGCCAGCCGCCGGAAGATGTATTCCGAAACGCGCGGTGCGCATCCCCGGTCCTGTTTCACATAGCCACTAAAGGTCTTTCAAGGGGGGCAGGAACGCCGCTTGGGTTTTTTTTCGCCTCTGCTACGTTCAGATGTGCCCTGCGCGTCCTGGGGCAAATATGGGAGGGCATGAATTTGCGGGTGATAGCGAGCCTTGTTGCGGTGGTGGCATCGGTGGTCTTCTCAACTGCTCGGGCTTGTGACGTGCCCGATCCAAGGCAGTATCTCGACCCGCAGTCCTGCCTTGCTGACTGGAGCCCCCAGCAATGTGAACAAGCCGCCAAAGAATTTGGAGAGACCTGGGCGCGCGGTTTTGCGACCGGCGAAATTGAAGCATTGCGCCAAGTTGCCCAGTCGCTGACCGATAGTCCGTCGGGCGTGTTGCATAAAAACCCGGTGCTCTCATGTGCCTTTCGTCACGTTATCGCGCGCTCCGGCGATCTTAACCTGACCGCATATGATCTCGGCTTTGTGTCCCGCGATGGGTACTGCACCGGCCAGTATTTTTCGGCGGCAGAGCGCATTGCCTTCATCAATCTCTCGATGACGATCGAAAAGACGATTGAAGCGTCGAGCAAGTCGTGCGAGCAAAATTGAAATCCCGTTCAAAGTTGGTTATCATTGTCCATGCGGCGTCTCCAAAGTCGGGAAGACAGGTTCATCGGTAGCCTGCAAGGGAAGGAACGCACCCCCGCCGCTTTTCCTCTCACTGCCTCCGCGATCCGTATAGGTCCCGTTTCCGGGCAACCTGCTTTTCCGAAGACTGGTAGAAGCTGACGATCCGCAGGAACCCGGTCTTCGCCCGCATCGCGACCGCGATCCACCAGCGCTCGCCATCCTTCCAGGCTAACGTGCGGTGATTGTCCTTCTGCTCATCGATGATTTCGCCCCGGGCGATGATGTCCGGAAGCCGATCCAGCGCTTCCTTCCGCGAGGCGGTGTCCTTCCGGCTGCCGGTCTTGCTCCGCGCCGTGTCGGCGAACAGTGAAACCACTGCGCCATTGCCGCCGAGTTCGTCGGATAACGCCGGGGAAACACCGGCAGGCAATGACAGGCGCGGCTCCGGCAGGCCGATGAGCACATTGCGGTCGCGGCTCTGCCACAACTGCCTGACGGTCTTGTCGGCGATCTCCGGTCCCGCATCATTGACCTGCTTTGCCAGCCGGTCGGTCAGCCCCTTGGCGCGCGCCAGACCCGGATTGGTGTGCCAGCCCGGATCGATGCCTTCCGGAACGCGCGTCACCTCGCCGGTGCGCCGGTTGCGGAAGGCCCGCCAGACGATCTGCGGTCCGCCCTGGTCCGGATCATAGCCGAGCGCGCGCGCCTCGCGCGCCGATATCTGGCGCACCGAACATTTGCAGCCCCAGCCATTGGGCGGGAAATGCGTGCGCCAGAACGGATCATCGGCAGGCAGGATGGTACCGACAAAGGCTTCGTGCTCGGCGCGTTTTTCGACGGCCGAAGAGCGCACATAGAGAATGTAGGGTAACGCCCGCTTGGTGCGCTGGATGCGTTGCCACTGGCCCGCCGCGCGCGCCGAGGCCATGTTTGACTGGAAGATCGTTTTCAGGCGGCGCGAGCTTGCGAAATTGACCTCGCGCGCCGGGTCTATGCCGGTCGGATCGCTGACCATACGCGGCCCCCACCAGCCCATCCGCTGCAGCTCCGGCCGCAGCCCGTCCCGCCAGGTCTCAAAGGTCTGCCCTTCGTCGAGCGCTTTGGTGAGGCTGGACTGGAAGGTTGACAGCAGCTCGGTCTCGACCGACTTGGCGACCGTGAAGGCATGGGCGTGTTCTTGGCCCCAGACATCAAGCCAGGAGAAACCGGGCGTGAGCCGCTTGGCCCGGAAATACTCTGCGATCTCGGCAGGCGGCTTGAACCGATTGTCATCGGCCATCGTCAGCCCTCCGGCAGATCATCGCCCGCATCGCCGAGCCCGCGCGCCAGACTGGTCAGTTTTGCCAGAGCCTCGGTCAACGGCCCGCCGTTCGGTTCGGCCGCCGCCAACATCGCTTGCGCTTCAGCGAGGCTTGAAGCCTCTTCGAGGATCACCTGAAACGGCTTCAACAGCGGGTCGGCGATCGCTTCCCATTCGTCGAGCGCTTCGGCGGCAAGCCGGTCCAGTTCATCGGGCTCGTCCGGTGTTGCGTTCAGCCCGGTGAGAGAGGCTTGGCCAAGGCAAGCCTGGCATTGACAGCCGCCGACATGGAGCGCCGCCTTGCCGCCCTTGACGGAACCTTTCCCGGAAGGTTTGGCGTCACCCGGTTTTTCATCCGGGGCACTGGGCTGGGAGGAGGGCGTCAAAACCTCGTCGTCGGGCGCGGGTTCAGGCAGGCCGAGCTTCTCGCGCATAGTGCGCTGGCTGACCCGGAAGCCGAGAGGCACGAGCCGCGCGACGTTTTCGGTCAGCGCCTTGGTGTCTTCCGGCTCGACCACCGGAAACTCGACCATCGGATAGACATCCTGCGGGCCGAAATTGAACGCGACGAAAGGCTCGATCAGATCGCGATTGATGGTCTGCGCCAGCTGGCGGCAATCAGCGCGCAGGATATCGAGACGCACTTCATTGTGGATCTGCGCCTGCGCCAGCGACGAGCCGTCATCGGAGGTCATGGTCTGGCCGAGAACCAGTTTGGAAACCTGCCGGTCCACATAGTCGATCAGCTCGCCGAAGACAGCCGAGCCATGCTGGCCCTCGACCTTGATGAACTCGATCTCCATGCCTGATGGCGCGATGGCTGCCCCGTCATTGGAGATGGCGCGCACGGCTCTGAGCAGCGACCGCTTGTCGGCTTCAGACGCATTCGGGCCATAGCGGCCGAGCCGCAGCGGCACACCGTAGATTTCCGCGAATGCCGCCCAGTCCTGCAGCGCGAAGGTCTGGATCAGGAATGCCCAGGCGGCAGGTCGCGCCAGCCCGGCGCGCAGCGGAATGCCCGCCTTGGTGCGCGGGAAATGCCGGATCATCGCGTAGAGCGGCAGCTCCTCGCCGTAGATCGGCTGGGCATCGGTCGCGAGCCTGAGTTCCGAAAGGCTGGTCTTGTCGAACACGAAATAGCGCGGATCGCGCCAGCGGTATTCGACCGGCTTGATCGCCTTGTCCTGATATTCCCAGGCCATCTCGACGGCAGCATAGCCCTTGCCGATCCCGTCGGTCAGGTCTCCGGCCATGTCGGTGAAGGCGCTGTCTTCGACGAGTTGCCGCACCGCGTCGACGATCCTCGTGTCGAGCCGGTCATCGGCATTGACGGTCGCCTCGATGCCTTCGATCGCGAGCCGTCGTGTCTGAAGTTGCGAACCATAATGCAGGTATCGCTCCTCCATCTCGAAGGCGAGCGTCAGATAATCCCTGCCCATGCCGGTCTCGGCCGAGCGCAGCACGCGCGCCAGCCGCTCCGGCGTCATGCCAGCGGCCTGCCGGTCCTCGATGACCCGGCGCACACCCCATTCGGTCGGTTCGGCCAGATCGCCGGTCAGCTCGGCCACCTGAACGGGCTTGCCGTCGGGTCCGAGGATTTTCGATTGACGATAGGTCACCAAAGCACACGCCCTCCGCTGTCAGTTTGATTGGCGAAAGCGTGGCCCTCGAAATCGTCTTCGCTGGCCGCGTAGCCCGAATAGGCCTGGCCTTCATGCGATGCCGCGAAGTAAGCGAGCGCTGCGGCGACCGCCGCATCACCATGGCGGCGCTTATCCTTGCGCGCCTTGTCGGTTGTGCGCTTGTCTGACGGGATTTGCGCAACGCCGTTGATGGTCCGCAGAAGCCTGAAGTCGCCGAAGATGTTGTCATCCTTCGGGATGGTGATTTCCCGATCCTCGAAGGCCGCCTTGAACTTCGGCATGTTGTCGCGATACCAGGCGACCGAGAGATGGACGACTTCGACCAGCTCTTCCCCGAAATGCTGGAGCAGGCGTTCGGCCGTCGCCGCTCCAAGTCCCGTACCGTCCGGTGCGACCCCGCACAGGTTTGGCAGGCGATTGCCGATATACTTGCCGATGAACTCTTGTTCGCGGAACGGCACCCGGCGCAGCTCGACCGTGAACGGGGTCTCGTGAACCAGCGACCGACTGACCGCCAGCGGCCAATAGACGGTCAGATCGTGAACGCGGCCAAAGTCAGCGCCCAAGGCATGACGCTCATTCGGCGACAGGAGCGCAAGCACCGGATCGAGGTTTTCCCGGCACCAATCCTGTGCGGCCGCCATGCGCATGTGGTCCGGCTCGTGAACGAAGCTGTCGGGAACTTCCCATTCAAGAACTGGCCTGTCAGCGCGCATGGCCTGCCGGATCAGAGCGCCTGGCAGGAACACGCCCGATCCCTTCGACGGCACGCAGAACAGCTCTTCATCCGCGCCTTCGCCATAGGCCGAGACGATCTGCGCCCGCCACTTTGCCTCCGCCTCCGGCGACCATTCCTTGTCCGAGACAAGGCAGACGCGCTGGTAAAGACCGTCGCGCAAGGCGTCATCGAAATCGAAGCGGCAGATGCCGTAGGGCCTGCGGCCAGCGCGCACTTCCTGGACCAGCTGATTGAACGGATTGTCCTCACCGTCATGGGTGGAGATGATGCAGACCTTGCCGCCCCAGATCAGGAAGGCGAGCGCTGCCTTGAGGACCTCTTCCAGATCGTCATGGAAGGCCGCCTCGTCGATGATGACGTAGCCTTGCCGACCGCGCAGCGAGCGCGGCCGCGAGGTCAAGGCGACGATCTCGAAGCCGGATGCGAACCGGATGCGGAAGGCTTGAATGCCGACCGGCTCGCCGTTCTTGTCGGTGTCGGCCCACATGAACTCGGAGATTTCCGTCGCCGCCTTATCGAAGGCCCGCGCCCACATCGCGCACACGTCGATGAACTCGCGCGTCATGTCGAGATTGTAGCCGAGATACATCACATCCATTCCGCCTGCCCGGCGGGCGGCGGCGGCTGTGACAACGGCGTCGGCTCCGAGCGCCCAGGTGGCCCCCGTGCGCCGGGACTTTTCGCAGACTGTGACCTGGTGGAGGGACGTCGTTTCCAGAAGGCGCTTCTGATAGCCGAGCAGGATGTCCGGAATGTCGTCATTGGCCGCACGGTGAATGCGGATCAATCCCGCGTCGAGCGCCTCGCGCCGGTGCTTTGCCCACTCATCCTCAGTGATCAGGCGGCCATGGGTCTCGGCGGCATCAGCCATCGGAGGCCTCCGTCGGGTCGCCGCTCAGATTGAGGCCGAGGATTTCGGCCTTGATGGCAGCGACCGTATCCTTGCTGAAGCCCTTCACCTTGGCAGCCGCATCCACGGCCTTCGAAACGCGCTTGGAATATTCCACCTCGATCTTGCGCCGGTGCTCGGTCGACAGGTTCTGCGCCTGGACCGTTGCCGCCAGCGCGCGCGCCAGCTCCATCGCGCCCTTGGTGGAAGTCGGTCCGCCTTCGAGGATTTCGAAGATCAGCGTCTTGATGGTTTCCGCCAGCATGATGGTCACGTCATCGGCGGCTTCCGGCCCGAGCGTTTTGGTGAGTTCGGATGAGATTTTGCGCACCTCGTCCATGCGGCGAAAGGCACGCGCCTTGCGGGTCGAAAACCGGTTGAAAGCGCTGCTCGAAACGGGCTTGAGGCCCTTGTCGGCGAGACGGGAATTGAACTCCTCGTGGATGTCCTTCTGCAGCCGGTTGGCAGCGCGCAGCTCTTCGACTGCCCAATGGATGTCCGCTTCCGCCTCTTCGGGCAGGAGATCGATCGACGAAAGCCGCCCGCGTCCGTCCCGCGACATGGTCAAGCTCCTGGCGAGGGCCGCTTGACCCCCTCAAGGATGGACCGGCGCTCCACATGGTCAAGGCCCGCTTGCGTGATTGTCGAAACCAGAACACTGCCGCGCTCTTCCATCTGGATTGCGCCTGCGATGTCGGCGAGCCAGCGCAACTGCGTGCGGACATAGTCGCGCCCCTTGTCGATCGCATAGTGCTTCATGATCGAGGTGAGCAGGCTGTCGTTGAGCGTGTAGTTGTTCTGCTCCGCCAGCGCCTTGAGGATGCACAGCCGGGCATCCTCGTCATAGAAGCGGCGGAATTCGGAAAGTGAGTGGCTCATGATTTTCGCCCCGCAATCTGATAGAGGAAGTCCTGGATGCGCAGGTTTCCGGCGAGCGTGGCGTCAACCTTTTCGTCGATCGCCTTGATGCGCTCTTCCATCCGCACCTGCCCCAACTGAAGCTCCTTGACCTCTTGGCGCGTGGGGCGGTTTTCCAGATCGCGCTCGACGTCGGTGAGCCGCCCTTCGATCTTGCCGAGGCGGCCGTCAATCGCATCCAGACGCGAGGTCGGCACCAGGCGATCCTTGTTTCCAAACGCTGACCAGCCTTTCTGGCGCATCACGAAATAGGCAATGACGGCCATGCCGATGACCACGACACCGACCGGACCGGCGATGCGCAAGCCTTCGAGGGCAACGGTTTGCCAGCTGAGTTCCCTCGCTATTTCATCCATCTTTGAGGGCCTCGTGAAGCAGGTAAAGGGATGCAAAAAATGTCGCGGCGCAAAGCACGAGGTATGCGCCGTTGGCGGTGGTCGCGACACCGGCAACCCAGAACGCTGTCGCCACCGTTGCGAAGAAACCGAGGGACCCGGCCATCGCGAAATATCGCAGTGACGAGGCCCACGCTCCGCGCGTGAATATGGCGGTCAGTTGAACGGCCAGCCCTGCCAGGCACACGGCGGCCCAGGCGGACTGCGGCAACCAGGCGAAAGCAGCATAGCTGTCGCGCTCGGTAATCTCCGGCACGACGAGGAACGCGACCGCGAAGTTCAAAAGAAACCCTGCCGATATCCATTCGATCGGCCGCGCCGGATCGAGGTAAGCCAGATCCAGCATCCGATCGAAAAGCCTGTCGCCGAACAGGCGACTTCCCATGCGGCGCAACATCAGCGCCTCCAGCCCTTCACCGCATCGGCAATGTTGACGCCAAGCTGTTTGACCGTGTGGCCGCCCATGTAGAGCGCAATGAACCAACTGGTCAGCGTCAGCAGGATGCCGAGGTCAATGGCCTCGATGGCAGGCGGTGGAACGAACCGGTTGATGACCGGCAGGATGATGATCCGCCACAACCAGAAAAAGGCCAGCAGATACATCCAGCCATAGCGCCAGAAGCTTTGCCAGAAACCCTCGGCCGTCTCCGCCTTCAAAAGCGCGAATTGACCGTCGAGCCCTTTTGACCAGAGCGCGATCAGCTCCGGCATCGCCGCTTCGGTTTCTTCAATAGCCGTGCCGAGCCTGTCCGGATCGGATTTGGCTAGATCAGGCAGGGCCACGGGTTCGACACCGGCGCGCGTGGCGATCTCGCCGATCACCCGGTCTGCCACGTCACCGGCGATGCCGCCAGCCTGCTTTCCAAGGGCCTTCTCCAGAAGCCCCTTGATGATGGGCGCGCCGACCTTGGTGGCGACACCGGCGACAATGGTGGAAACTGCGCTCATGACACGTCCTTTCGTCCGTTAGCGTTTGATGAACTCGCGGATTTCGTGACGGTAGAACCAGACCAGGTAACCTAGACCCAAGACGAGCAGGGTCAGTCCGCCGTAAAAGGCGAGGTCCGACAGCGCAGGCGACAGGTCGCCCGTTACCGTACCGGTCCCCGCCGTGCCGCCACCGGTCAGGCCGACAGCGGCGGTTTCCGATCGGGCGTTGACAAGCCGGGTCAGCTTCGACCGCGTCGCCGGGCCGAGAATGCCGTCATTGACCAGGTCCGGATGCTTGCGCTGGAAGGCGCTGACGGCGGCCTTCGTCTTGGGACCCCACAGACCGTCCGGCTTGCCGCAATCATAACCAAGCGAGCGGAGCATCTCCTGGTCTTGCTTCAGCTGCGCGGAATAGCCGTCCATGCTGTCGTCTGCACCGTGGCGCACGGCAGATTTCGATTTGTGGATGGAGTAGATGCCATCAACGAGAAGATCGGCCTCCTCCTTGCGACGGCGCACCAACCCGGCGAGCTTGCGCCCGCGCGCCGTAACGGCCGTCACACGCAACCGGTCAGCTGCCGCCTTGCGCTTTCCGGATTTGAACAGCGATGCCCAGGACCATTTGAGAGCGCCGGGGCCGCAATTGAACGAGACCGAACAACCGGCATCATAGGCATGTTGCGAAAGCGTATCGCCGAGCCCCTTCAAGACGGGCGGGCCATATTCTTCGGTCACGCAGCGCACCAGCAGCGCGTCGCTTTCCGCCTGCGTGATGGTGTCGCCCATGCGAATGTCGCGCCCACGGGTCTTGCGCCAATGGGCGCGCACCGTTGCCGACCGGTTCGTGAAGCCGGTTCCGATGGTGAGAATGCCCACCGGGTCCAGATAGGTCTTCGAGACAAATCCCTCGTGTCGGCGGACAAAGGCCGCGCCCTGTGCTGAAAGTTCCATAGGTCCAGTCCGGCTGTTTGGTATCAGCCCGAACAGACACTTTTATTTCGGGATTTCCGGGGCTGGCTTCTGTCAGCCTTGGTCGGTTTCGAAAAGGAAAAGCTGGTCGCTGTTGGAGGATTTCGCACCGCTCCGGGCGCTCTCCCAGCGAAAGGCGGTGCGTTCATGCACCTGTGCCCGCCGTGCGGCGGCCCGCACACTCATGCCACCGTCGCGATCACGATAAAAGCGCGCTTTTGCCTTTTTGAAAAGCCCCGCCGGTCCGCGCGGGATCATGATGTGCCGCGCGCCGCGTTCCCTGTCTTCTGGCGACAGCGTCGTGAAGTGCTTTGCAATGGCGTGAGCCGCTGCCGGTTCGACCACATCCATCAGCCAGTGATCGTCGGGAACCCGCGCCGGGATGGAAACCCGCGTGCCGCCCACCGCATCAGCAATCGCCAGCGCCGCATCAAGCCCGGCAACCTCGGCGATCTCGTCGAGCGGCGAAGGTAGATTGTCGAACGAGACGTTCATTGCTCGCCCTCCGACCTGCGCGCCGGATGGGGCATATCCTTGCCGAGCGTCGTCACAACCTTGCCGCCGGACACCACGAATTTTGTCTTGCCGATCTTGATGTTGACAGGGTCGAAATTGGCATAGGGTGCGCAGCCTTCTCCGATCAGTTGGCGAATGCGCTCCACCGGAACGCCGCATTCGCGTTCCAGCCAGCGCAGCACCGCATGTTCGGAAACAGGTAGCGGCTTTCTCATTCCATCACCCGCCTGCATCGGCTTTGCGCACGGCATTGACGGCGTCGCGGATGGTGTCCTGCCATGCCCGCACGAAGCGCAGCGTGGCCTCCGCCTCTACCAGTTGCCGCTTGAGAAGGTCGGAATGCGCCCGGTTCGAATGCAGCTTGGCCGCATTGTCCTTGGCCATTGCCACCGCGCTGATCTGGCTGTCGAGGCTGATCCTGTTCATCACGCCGCCCTCGCCTGTTTAGCCTTGGCGTCGCGAATGCGCTTGCCGAGAGCGTTCATGATGATGATCCAGCCATCCTTACCGATGTCGTTCAGAAAGGAATGGTTCACCAGATCGAGGCAGGCGTTGCGGAAGTCCGTGGCGCCCTGCCCGGCAAAGTCTGCGCCCTGGCTGAAGCGCACCCATTGGGCCTCGGCTATGATCCGACCGTCAGGCTTGCCGCGCTGTCCCCACTGGACGCCGCCATCGCGCGCGAGCCAGCCCTTGAGCGCTTCGATCGCCCTTTTGGCATCCGCCGGATCATGGCAGAACCGGACGGCATCGAGGCCGGTCTGGCGTTTCACGAAGGCTTCCAGCGCCGCGTCGTCACGGTTGCGCACGATGCCGAGGTTCCAACCGGCAATCCACAAGGCCTGCAGCTTGCTCGCATATTTGCCGGTGAGTTTCGCCCGACCGTCAGCTCGCTTCGAAGCGCCCTTGAGGCCCGGATAAAGCCGCTTCAATTCGTCGATCACAGCCTTGTGCTCGGCGCCGGTCATGTCGGCCGCCGACGCCTTGCCGGTCACGCGCCCATAGAGCGCACGCTTGTCCTCGTCGGAGAGGCCCGCCTGCCGGATCGTGGCGTGAAGAGCCTTGAGGGTCGCGCTCATTGGATATTCTCCCATTCAATGAGAGTGCCCTCGAACGGCAATCCGAGCGTATCTCGAAACCAATCAGCCATTTCAGTGAAGCTGCCGAAACCATCTGCCTGTGCAAACTCGTTGTCTGTTTGCTCGCAGTCGCGAGAATAAATGGTTGATGGCAACCGACGTCCATTGATCGACATTTCGACGGCATCAATTCGGACGCTCGCAACGCGTGTCACGGTTGCTTCACCGATCAAACGGCAGTCTTTGGTTCGCATGCCGGTGTATAGGCGGATTTTATCGCCCCTTTTGCAGTGTGACCTTCCATCTCGGCGAGGTGCTCGCACTGTTTGGGTCTTGTCACCAAATTCGATGGCTTCAACAAACCGCTCCTGAAAACTGAAGGCTGGCATCACGCACCTGCCTCTTCGAGCAGTTCCGCCGCGCGCTCGGATAGGTCCGGCCTGAAGAAGCCCAACCTCAATTCCAGCGGCGATGTGAAGCCTCCGATTTCATCCCGACCTGTCAGCAGCGGTTCGTCGATCATCGCCGCCAGGCACTGCGCCAGCCGACTTTCCAACGGATCACCATGTGGGATGTCGAGGCCGAGCGCCTGATCGACGGCCCGGTCGAGGTCTTCGCCGCCCAGCACACAGTTTTCCGGGACGAGTCCAGCGAACACACCGCCAAGCGCGAGATCGACCTGCTTCGTCTGGCGATTGCGTAGAAAGCGGTAGCGCACAGCGTCACGTTCCATTGCGGTCTGGCGCTCATCGCTGCACGCCGAACACAGATCGTCATCGGCCCAACACAGTGGTTCGCCGTTTGCCATCGTGCCCGGTTCGATATGGTCGATGCCGCAGTCGGTGCAAATGGGACCACTCTTCATCACGCACCCGCCTTCGCCAGATCGATGGTCACGGCTTTCCAACCATCAGTGATCTTGGCGCGCTGATAGAACCGCACGTACTCCTTTGAGCCGATGATCCGGATGGCATCGCGAATGGCGTCCATGGCCCGCATCCATCGCTCGTCATCGCTGTCGATCCGCAACAGCATGAGAACAGCAGATCGATTGATCTTGCCCTTCTTGTCCGTGTTGAATGCTTGCGTCACAGCCGAGCGAACTTCAGCGCGTCCCTCCGCGGACCATTCGATGAGACATTCATCGACCAAGGCCTTGGCGATATGCAGCTGAGGGCCGAAATCGATGAGATCGGCCACCTGCACCTCGATCCGAAGCAAGCCGTCATAGCTGGTGTATTGCCGATTGCCTTTCTTGCCGCCGCGCCGCACGTCGTAGTGCTGCTCCAGCATCCCGTCGAAACCCACCAGTGCCTGCATGACGTGGTTGCGGAAACGATCAATCTGATCGGAAAGTGCAATCGCAAAGCTGATCTCACGTCGCACCATCTCATCTTCGAGTTTCTCGGCTGCCTTGACGGCTTCCATCGGCATAACGCCGCCTCTCGCGTCGTTCATGTACACCCTGCCATCCAGTACGCGGGTGCCATCACCCAGCCGATCCAGCACATCGTCGGCGGCCTGCTGGTAAGGACTGACCTCTTCTCTTGGGTGTGTAATTTCATGGGCTTCAGACATCGCTATGTTTCCTTTTCTCGTGTTGGAATTGTCGGAAGGCAGTCCGGCAGGCCGCCGCCTTCTCGTTGAGCCGGTCTGCGGCCCGGTTTTCGTCTTTGGTGTATTGCGCCTGTTCAAAGGCGTTGACGGCCACCGCAAGCTCGGCGCAGGCCTTCAGCAGACCCTCGCCGATACCCACCGGAGCCTTGGCGGTCGCGCAGCTTTCGCTCGTCCGCGCAAGCGCCTTCTTCTGGGCGGCAAGCTCCGTCCACTCCCGGTCCAGCTCCGCGCGCATCTCGCGGGTCACCTGGTTGCGGATCGTGCCATAGAACTTGTCCATGACCTTGGCCGCCGCCAGTTCCGCCAGCTGCTCCATGGTCGCGTCGCTGTCATGGGCGTGGTAGCTCATGATGCGGGTCCGCCACCATTGTCGATCACAAGATGCAGCGGCGTCTTGGCGGGTTTCGGTTTGGCAGGTGAAGGCACAAGCCGGAGCCGCCTGTTGCGGCCAAGCCGCAACTCCGCATGCCGGTCGCCGCACAGCGCGACCTCAAGGTCTTCGACACGCCGCTCCATTTCGCGGGCGCGGCCGCCATGGCATTCAAGCGCCCGCGCCAGTTCGTGGAGAAGCGCATCGCTCGGCGGTACCTTGTCCCGGCGGCGGTGGTCGATCATCTGGGCAAGGTTGGCAAGGTCCTCACTGAGCGGCATGGCTGCGGTCTCCCTTGTCCAGTTGAGCGTCACCGGCTGCAAGCTGCAGCCGCAGTCGGTCCATCCGCTTCATCATGGTTTCGGCCTGGTCGCGGGTCATCACGCACAGATTTTCACTCATCGAGCGCGACAGGGTTTCGGCCATCAGGCCGAGCTCATGGGCAGGCGTGATCGTCATGACCGTGTTCCTTTCGAAAAATCCGCCACCACAACGCGGGCGCTGTCCTCGTCATCCTCGGCAAGACCCTCTTCGAGCACGTCGAGACACAGATCATCGAGCGCGCTCAGGGCGTCGCCGTCGCGTTCGCAGATCCGGTAGGCGGCAAGCTCGTCCTCTAGAAGGCTGATCGCTTCGGTGAGCGCGGCAAGCCGACGGTAAAGGTGCAAGGCCTCCGCCGCACTCATCGTCAGGCCGTCCGGTGTGCCGTGGTCGGCCACCGTTCTGGCAATCGCATTGGCCTCATGGCTGAGCGGGGCAATCCGTTTGAGTGCGTGTCCCATCAGCGATCTCCCTGCCAGAGGTCGGCCACATCCCGGTTCGCCCAGGCTGCCTTCAGGTGATCGGCTGAAAGCGTTTCGCCGTCGCCAAGTGTCAGCGACGCCAGCCCGATCGTTTCGCGCACCTGATGCAGGCTGCCATTCTTCATCGCGACGCCGGTCAGGAACTTGCGTGCCTGCGGCTCCCGCATGTTCCAGGCATCGAGCACTGCCTCGATGTCTTCGAGCCGGGGTGTCGAGAACCGCAACCGCTTGCCGATCCGGCCGGTCACCTGATTATGCTCGCCGCCGAGGCTGTCACGGCGCAGCCGCGTATGAATTTCGTCATTGCCGACGATCGCCACCCCGCAGCCATGCAGGTCTTTCAACTCCCGCAGCATGTTGAGCGACTGGTGGTCGAGGTTCTGCGCTTCATCGACGATCAGAAGCGATGTCCGGTCGGCGCTGGTCAGCCGCCGGATCACGGCGCTGTGCAGCTTCGCAGGGTTCATCTGCGTCACACCCAGCTGTGTCGCCATCGCCGTCAGCGTGGCATGCACGGTGCGGGCATAGGGGTTCATGGTCACCATGAACACGTTGGCCCGTGTCGAGGCGTAGTGGGTGCAGGCGGCCGTCTTGCCGGTGCCGGACGGCGTCGTCACGATCACCACAGTCGGCATCGCCTGTGCGAATTGCAGCGTCGCGATGATCTGCTTGGCCGTCTTGGTCTTGACGAAATCCGGGCCGCTCGGCACGCGCGCCGCCATGCCCGCCATTTCCTCGGTGCTGGAGAGCCAGCGTTCCACCTTCAGGTTCTGGCTGTCGAGGCGGCCCGTATATTTCCCGGAAAACCACTGGCTGAAGGTGCCATCCGGCATCTGGATGCGCCGTCCGACCTCGGCCTTCGACCAGCCATTGAGTTCGGCAATCTCCAGCACACGCTCGGTCAGCGCCCGCCATTTGGAAATGTCGGCCGCTGTGCGGCCCGAGGCTTCATTGCCGGTCTCGGGCACCGTATCCGGTCGGCTCCAGCCGGAAATCTCCCGCTGACCCGAACCGGAAAGTGTTGCATTTGTCGCGTTTGTCATTCATAAGCTCCGTAGATCAATTGTTGGGGCGGCCTTTGCCGCCCTCTTTTTTTGGGCCGTACGCGACACAAATCGGCCCGGTCTTCTCCTCAACCCTTCGGTTTTCGGAATTCGATCACCTCGCCCTCAAGGCGTTCCATGGCGTTGGCAAAGGCGTCCTCATGGTCCTCGCCCCACGCTTCCGGCGCGGGCTTGCGCGCCAGCGCGGTCCTTCCGCCAGTCATCACGCCCTTGGTGACAACACGCTTGGTGCGTGGCTCCGGCGTGGGCTTGGGGTTCGGTCTGTTTCTCGTGTAGATGTCGGCCAGCTGATCCGGCGACATCTGCACATGCATGTCGGCCAGTTCCTTCTTCTTCTTGAGGAAGGCGCGGCGGTCGCGATTGTGCTGGAGCGCATCTTCCATCGAGAAGAAGCCAGCATCCTCGATACAGGCCGCATCGCAGATGAACCGGTCGGAAAGATCGTAGACCTTGACCGGCTCATGCAGCCGGTCGGCGTCAAAGCGCACCACAAGCTTCTTGCCCATGAACTGGTTGAGCGCTTCGTTCCAGTAACGGTTTCCGGCCAGATGGATTTCGCCGCTGCCGCGCTGTGCGCGGATGCTCTCCGCCGCCATCAGCCAGAGCGAGCGCTGGCCCTCGGTCGGCCAGGAGACGATGGTGGCAGGATCGGCAAGCGACTGTGCGAAGGTCTCGTCAAACGAGCGGCCATTGGCATTGCCGCCCTTGCGGCCCGCACGCGCATTGTGCTCGGCGATTTCCCGGTCGACATGCGCCTTGAAGACGTCGATCGGCACTGCCTTGGAACGGTAATTCTCGGGCTTGGCGTTGACGTCATTGCCCGTCCATGCTCCGGCGCACACCGGGTGGCGGGAAATCGTGTCGGTGAGATCGCGGAAGGCCCGCTCGATCGGCTTGGACTGGCCGGAATAGGGCTGCGCCCAGATCAGTTCGACACCGAGCGAAACCAGAAGCCCGTTCGGGTCTTCCTCCTTCACCTTGAAGCGGAACCGGTTCATCGCGCCGCCGGTAATCCATTTCGAGGCAAACGCCCGGCCATTGTCGAGCAGCATCTTTTCCGGGATGCCGTGCCGTGTGACCATGTCGCCGATGGCGAGCCGTGTCGTGTCCTTGTTCTCGGTCTCGGCGATCCGCCAGGCGAGGATTTTGCCTGAATAGAGACACTGGATCGCGATCATCATCGGGCGGATCGGATTGTCCCGCCAGGGCACCGAGACGAACACATCGAATTTGTGGCCGTCGATATTAACCGCCTGCATGGCCCGGAGCGCCGAGCGGTCCCGCCGCTGCGCGGGATAGAGCCGCTTGGTCCGCTCGCTGGTCTCGCGCGCAGCAATCACCACGGCTTTCGGTACCTCATGCTCGAACCGGCGACGCAAGCTTGCCTCAGTTGGCATCGGCAGCCAGCCATTGTCCCTGGCAATCAGGCGCACCCGCCGGACACAGGCCGAGAAGGTCGGCCGTTCCGGGCGGAGATAATCGCTTTTCAGCGTCTCCCAGGCTTCCGGATGACACTCGGCACGTTTGCCGCCTGCCTTGTACTGGTCGGCCATCAGCGCGAGCCAGTCCTTGCGGGGCTTGCCGGTGACCCGCGCCATCCAGTTGGCAAGGCTCTTCGCCGAGCATCGGTGGTCATGGGCGACCTGTTCGAAGGCGGTGCGCTGCGACAGCCCTTCGCTGATCAAGCGATCAGCGCTGACAACAGCGTTCAAACGCGCCTCACAGGCCTTTTTGCGGGCCTTCGGAAGCCCGTTGTAATGCGCCCAGAGGTGTGAGGGTTGTGCGGCCTCGTGGTCGCATCTGGCGTCGTCATTGCCGGGCGTGGAATGAACTTTCATCAGCCGGGCCTGCACATCGCCATTCAGCGCATCGAAATGATAGGTCCAGGCACCGCCACCGCGCCCTCGCTTGCCACTTTCCTGCCGGGCGAGCTTCGCGTTGCGGCGGCAGGCGGCATAAAGACGATGCACATGACGGGCCGATGTCCCGTGCAGGATCGCCAGTTCTTCAGCGGTGTAGAAGCGCTTCAGCGTCATCCCCGTTGCCTCCATCTGGCAGGCGTCACGGGCTGGGCGCGCAGTTTCGCAAGCTTCCGGTTGATCTGGCGGCGTTCCTGTTCGAGCAGCGCCATCTCCGCCAGCCGTGCTTCGCGCCCCTGCAGCACGGTGCAACCCGCCTTCGAGGCGATCAGGTCATAGAGCCAGGGTGCGCTGGTCGCATGCACGAAGGCCGCAAACCGCAACAGGCTGATATCGTGGGTGTCCTTGCTCTCGGCAGTATAGGCGTCAAGCGTGGCACGAGACAGTTTCGGCAGGCCAAGATAGGCCGCCATCCGCTCGGCAACCACGCTGCGCGGCAGACCGCACTGGCGGATCGCCTCGCTCATCGCCCGTTTGACCTCCGAGCGGAACCGCTCCAGCTCCAGCGATCCGGCCTCGACCCGCTCCGGGAAGGCCCGGTCTTCAAACAGCGGCAATTGGTCGGGTGAGGTCTTCATGCGTCACCTCCCGCCTGCATCTTGGCCTTGCTGTCGAAGCGTGTCGCGCGTCCGCCATTGGCGGCTCGTTCGGCTTCGCGCGTCTGCACCTTGTCCAGATGATCGCGGAAGGCAGCCTTGGTTTTCGGGCTGGCCTTGGCATAGAGTCTGATCATCTGGGTCAGGATTTTCTGCTGGTCGGTCGGCTGCGCCTTGTGCCCGGTGATGTCCGGCCAGGCCGCTTTGAAATCGCCCTTGTGATCCCGCAGTTTTTCAGCCGCACGCGGCTTGAGAGCCGGGTCCAGCTTGGCGAGCGAGAGAAGCTGCGCCTGGTTGTCGGCGATCGACGTTCCGCGCACCGCCGCACGCAGGTCCGGCGTCAGGTTCTGGGCGATCTGGTTGAGCCGTTTGATCGAGGGAACCGAGACGCCAAGCCGCTCCGCACAGACCTTCGAGAAGCCGTTGGCATGCTCTTGAGCGATTAGATCGACTGGCGAACTTCCAATTGGATCAACTTGATCCAATTGAGGATTGCCAGCCTTGATCGGCCCGTGCGTTTTCTCCCAGACATCACGATAGGTCGCCACAAAGGTCGCGCGGTCCATCACCGACAAATCGTTGCGGAACAGGTTCTCGGTAATCTCGATCAGCACCGCATCGTCGGCGTCCGCCTTGACGACGACGACTTCAATCTCGTTGTCCTTATCGAGCAGTTCTATGGCCCGGAGCCGATGCGCGCCCGCAACCAGTGTATAGGGCTTCTCGCCATTGGGCGTCTGACGCACCGTGATCGGGTTGATCAGGCCATGGGCTTGAATGCTCGCCTGGATCGCCAGCGCGTGATCGTCTTCCACGTCACGCAGCCGTGCGGGCACATGGATTTTGTCGAGCGGGATGCTCTTGGTGCTGCTCATGTCCGTGCTCCGCTGTTCTCGCCGATCAGCCGCACCAGGCGGTGTTTGTATCCGGGGATTTGCTGGTTGAGGTAATCGCGGGTCTCGGCATCACGGGTCCGGTCGGCGCGGATCATCAGGGTGCGAACAAAACTCACCTCTTTGGGCTCGACGCAGAAGTAGTGATCCGGGCAGACAACCGCGTATTTGTGGGTCAGCCGCGTGGTGCAGCCCTCGACCGGGCAGGTGCCGAAATCCGTGCTCATGCCGCTGCCGCCTTTTCATCTTCGAAAAGCCGCTGCGCATGCGCCGCGATCAGCCGGTAGCTCGCCTCGAACTCATCCGTATCCAGCCGCCAGTCGATCGTGGTCAGGCTCCGGTTGAGGCTCGCCCGCGACCGGCGCAGATGATCGAGCACCCGTTGCTTGGTGACGTTGAAATGGCTGCACATCACATGCAGAACCACCTGTTGGGCGAGCGCCGCATCAAACCAGCTGCGTGGCGGGTCCATGATCGCCGCCATCGGCAGGTGCCGGAAATGCGCATGGACCGCTGCCAGCGTCACACGGTAGATCAGCCGGTATTCGGCTTCCTCCGCATCACGCATAGCGTCAATCCGTTCGAGAAACGCAGACATCACGAAGCCGCCCGCTGTGCTTGCTGCGCTGTCTGGCCGCCATCGTCGTTTCGGCGTTGCGGATAAAGCTTCACCCGTGTGTAGTTCTGGGGCGATTTCCGCTGACCGGAAGCGTGATAACGGTCACGCCACAGCAGCTCTGGTCTGGTTCCGAGGGCAGCGGCAATCGCGCGCTCGCCCCGTGCATGCGGCTCGATCATCGTGTTCGCGGCCGTGCCACGGGGCAGCGCATGGGCGCGGTCGATATCGGCGAGACGCAGGCCTTTGGCCTTCAGTTTCTCTTCGATACGCATGCGTTGTTCGATTTGTCGCTGCTCCCACTTGGAGCGGCCGCCATTTGAGGCCATGATGGTCTCCTTCAGTGCCGTTGCGGGGGAATGGGAAAAACCCCGTTATCGGCGATGTGTGTTCTGTTATGACAGGGAGAATAGCGGAATATCGCTACATGTAAAGCGAAATATCGCATGTTAGCGAAATACCGCGTTATTATGGGTATCGGTGAACGATTAAAGGCCGCCGCCGCAAAGGTCGGGGGGCAAAAAAAACTGTGCGAGTTGGCGGACGTGAAGACACGGACGTTGTCCGATTGGATTGCGGGCAACACATCTCCCAATCTGCAAGCTCTGGAAGCGATCGCTGAAGCGTCGGATGTAGATCTGGGGTGGCTCGTCACCGGCCAAGGCAATTCCGAACAATCGCAGTCTCAAATGCAGACGGCCAAGAGCGAAATCCGCCTGCCGCTTTACAATGTCCAGGCGGCAGCGGGCGCGGGCATGGTCGCGCTGGAGCAGGAAGTTGCGGGCTGGATCACCGTCTCCCGCGATTGGCTCTCCCGCTATATGCCGCCCGGTGCGAGAGCGGGCATAGTTGAGGCGCGAGGCGACAGCATGGAGCCGGTCATCCGTGATGGCGACCAGTTGGTCATCAACTTTTCGATCAACAACGATGATCTCGATGACGGCGGCATTTTCGTCATCGCCATCGGCGACCGCGTCATGGTCAAGCGCCTCCAGCCCATGCTCGATGGCCGCCTGCGCGTTTCATCCGAAAACCCCTCCTATGAGCCGGAATATCTGACCCGCGAACAGGCCGACGCAGAGCTGATCGTCCACGCCAAGGTCGTTTTGGTCATCACGCCGCCGAGGCCGAGATGAGGCCGAGCTGAGCCCGAATTCCCAAATATGCATGTCCAAAATCAACGGCAGAAAAAGCCGCCAAAATCCGCTATTTTGGACATCGTAAGTCATTGTATATCCATCGAAATATAGAATTCGAATGTCGCGGTCATCTATTTCGGACATCAATGTCCAAAATCGGTTTGGATTTCGGGTTGTTTCCGCGCTGTTTGGCGGCTTCGCTGATCTGGCTTTGAAGGCCTCTAAAGGGCGGTTTTCCGGGGTTTTGAAGGGTGTCCGCCTCGTATTTGAAGCCCTCTCGAAGCTCCGCCCGGTTTTTGCCCTCAATGGCCGCCAAACCTGCCATATCGCCCGTTTTGGGAAAAACCTCTTGCAAAAACGCCCCGCCGGAGTTTCCCGCGCCGCACCGTTCAACCCACTGAAATCACGTCCCTTTCCGCACAATCCCGCCTAATTCCACCTAATCCCGGATTACCCCATACCTCTTGAAAGACAACACCCTGTTCACGTTGTGGTCCATTGCGGACCGGGTTGCAAACTCGTTCGGTGTGAGCCCGTCGAGGCTCGTGTGTGGCCGGTTGAGATTGTAGTCGATCCTCCATTTTTCGATGATCTGCCGGGCATGGCGGTAGCTGCGGAACAGATGCTCGTTCAAGCACTCGTCCCTCAGCCTGCCGTTGAAGCTTTCCACGAGGCCGTTCTGCATCGGTTTTCCGGGCGCAATGTAATGCCATTCGACGTTGCGGTTCTGCTGCCAGGCGAGCATGGCATTTGCGGTCAGCTCCGTGCCGTTGTCGCTGACAACCATGCAGGGATAGCCGCGCCTTTCGGCGATCGCATCCAGTTCGCGAGCGGCACGTTCGCCCGAGATCGAGTTGTCCACGACGGTCGCCAGGCATTCCCGGCTGAAGTCGTCGATGACACACAGGATGCGGAAGCGGCGTCCATCGACCAGCGTGTCCGACATGAAGTCGAGTGACCATCTCTGGTTTGGATCCTGTGGAATGGCCATTGGCGCTCGCGTACCCAAGGCTCGTTTGCGGCCGCCGCGTTTTCGAACCGTCAGACGCTCTTCCCTGTAAATCCGGTAGAGCTTCTTCCAGTTCACCGCCACGCCTTCGCGCTTCAACAGCAGGTGCAGGCGGCGATAGCCGAACCGTCGCCGTTCCGATGACAGGTCCCGCAAGCGCTGTCGCAGACCGGCATCGTCCGGCCTGCTCGACTGGTAACGGAAGACGCGCGGCGCAATGCCGACCAGGGCACAGGCCCGCCGCTGCGAATAGTCCTTCATCTCGATTGCCCAACTCACGGCTTTTCTCCTGGAGCCGGGCGTCAGAAGTTTTTTGTCAGCATCTCACGAAGCGTCGATACATCCATCATCTGCTCCGCCAGAAGCCTCTTCAGCTTCGCGTTCTCTTCTTCAAGCGCCTTCAGCCGCTTGGCGTCCGATACGTCCATGCCACCATACTTCTTGCGCCACGTGTAGAACGTCGCGTCACTGATGCCGTGCTTGCGACACAGCTCAGCCGGTGTCATGCCCGCCTGATGCTCCTTCAAAATGCCGATGATCTGCTCTTCCGAAAACCGTGATCGCTTCATTGCCTGTCTCCTTCGTTGAGGAACAGGCTAACCCAAAAACGGGGACATCTAAGGGGAGCACGTCAATCGCCTCGAGCGGGATGGCAACTTCGATGAGTTTCTTCTTGTAGGTGGTGGTCATTGCGATCCCTAAGTCTAATGCGCGATGAAAAGGGCTTGAAGGCCGGGGCCGAGGTTCTGGTGCGCACCTTCCCCTAGCAACTCTTCAAACATCTCTGCGCTTGTTATTGTTCTTCTATCTGCGCCATCGTCGCGGTCCATTGACCCGCGCGGCAGATCTCTACCGATGGGTATTCCAATTCCGCGTTCGGCGAAAGAAGGATGCAGCAATTCACCGTCGATCCGACCGCTTGAAAGATAGAAGTTGATGAGGCGGGATAACCCTCGCGGGTCTTGTCGACTTGGATAGGGAGGGCGGCAAAAGCAACCAAGACTCGTGCATGTGCTCGCGATGGCTACTGATTTCTTTGGTCGAGCTTGGGTGAGGGCCGAGGCTTTTGCATCAAGCGTGAAAGCAGCTGATTGTGCCTTTCTATCAACCTTCTTGTCCAAGGCAGAAGGTGTGCAGCACCAGGCCTCAGTGAACATGCAATCAGGAACCGCTGCGGAACGAATGTCCTCTGCTTCCGGAAACACATAGAAGGTGCTGTCAGGGTACGACTTTTCGACGGAAGTTAGCTTGGTCAGCTGGTCACGCTCAATCTTGATCCGGCTGCCCGACTTCGCCTTGAACTGAAAGAGGACCAGGCTGCCTCCGAGCCCCAGAGCCGCATCGATCCCTTTCTTGCGCTCCTGCGCCTGCGTCAAGCCGAACCACTTTGGATTTCGGTTGAAAGGCATAAGGGCTGCGCTGAGCGCAGCACAAAACCTGATTTCAAAGCTCTTTTCTGCGTATCTCAATTGAGCTCCTCGGGTGAAACAGCTCGGTCGAGTAGCCGGTTGATGTTGAATTGAATTGCGTTTTGGTCGAAGGGCGGCTCGCGCGTGTCCAATGCGCCGCGCAGATAGCGGGGCGCGTGGACGTAGCCGTCGCCAACCTGGACGATGGCGAGGATGAACTTCTCGGGCTCGTGGAGCGAGGTGATGACCTCCTGCCGCGTGATCATCACCGTGTCCGCACCGTCGATCCGGCCCTTCACCTCGATGAAGCGCATGTGGTCGACGTTCGGATCGTAGGACGCGATGTCGTAGCCGACCTTCTGAGTCGACACGTCCTCCGGCCGGTTCCCGAGTTCGCGCTCGACGGCCATGACCGCCTCCATCGCCTTCAGCTCGATCTCGCGGCGGGCGACCGGATCCTCCGAGAAGCCCGACCCCGCATCTGCCATCTCGGTCGGCATGCGCTCCCGCAGAAGGCCGCGGGGCACCACGACCATCCCGCCGCGCACGCGCGGTGGCTGGGCCGAAATGAAACGCTCCTGGTCGATCAGCTCCAGGCGACGCTTTAGGCGCTCCGCCAGTTCTTCCGCGCGACGCTGCGCGTTCTGCCAGTTGAGGCGGGTCTTCTTGCCGGCCTTCTCTTGTTCCTTAAGTTCGAACGCGCGCGAGTCCCAGTAGTTGATCTCTTTCTTGAGGCGGGCCTTCACCTCCTGCTCGACCTTGTCGATCTCGGGTAGCCGGCGCCCGCGTACTTCCGCAACGTGACCTTGGGCGAGTTCGACGGTGGCGAACTGAACGACCTTTTTCTCGAGATCGCCCCGCAGCCAGTCGGCGTTCAGTACATCCTCGACACCGCCGATTTCCTCCGGTGTTGCGGGCCGCAAGTTGAGGTGGGGCGCGATCCCAGCGTTGGTCACGTTGCCTGCCTCGTCGATCGCCGCGAACTGCAGCTTCTGCGAAATCACGTTGGCGTTGCCGGAGCTGGTCGGGCGCCCGTCTTGGACGCTGTGTTCGAGCAGGAACAGGGCGGAGACGTCGGTGCCGTCGTCGGTGTCATCGACCAGGACAGCCCCTTGTTTCATCAGGTGATCGTTCTGCTCGCGCACCAGGCTGATGACAGCCTCGAGCAGCGGGTGCCCGGGGTAGACGAAGGCCGCGACAGGCTGCTGGTTGATCTTGCCCTTTTCGAAGCAGATGCGCTCGTACTTCTTCTGAAGCGGCGCACCTGAGCCGATTTGGCGGTCACGCTCCCGCACGCTGAGCGGAACATGGGTGATTTCCCACCGTCCTTCTTCCCGGCGCTTGATCTGGCCGCCGAGCCGCTTGAATGCCTCGACGAAGAAGCTCTGGATGTGA